GCGGACACGGATACGGGCGGATTAGCGGGAGCAATGTCAGTTACCCGCAAGAATATGTCTGCTTTTTGCTTTCGTGACACAAAATGTACAAGAGAGATTAATAATGACGTCGGATAGGCGCGTTCGTTTGATGCACTTTTTAACAAATGTTTGGCTCGTGCTTGTCATGAAAAGTAGATCCAAACAATGAGAAGTCCACTTGAGATCATTTTACAGTCTCAAAAATTCCAAATGACACTAAAAAATGACAATCATATCTCCTTTTTATCTCACATAACAATAAATATAAGAATACATAGCACTAATTGCGATAGGAAATTCATCCGAACGTAAAGACCGTATCCATGCATGGGAACAAGGGGGTGTAAGGCTAAATTATACGCCTTAAATCTTTTACGATACACTCGTTTTAAAAAAATGTATTCAATTTTTATGGTTCAATGTATAGTTTCCCAAAAAACGATCGTTCAAAGATACACTTCTGATGAGAACTCATCGAAATTATATTGTCCACTAATGAATAAAAGACGCCAGTAATTTTGCAGAAAGCTTAACTTAATAGTGAAAATATATTTGTTACAATTACGACTTTGTTTTAATCGAATGAATTCGTCTGTCTTTTAGCCATTACAACTGTAACGGACTCTTCGGGGAAATATTCATCGGATGCCGAAACACAACAATTTTTTACAGGCAATCAACATCAAATGAACGAAAATTTAACGGCCAATGAACATGCACCATTGGTAGCATCACTTGTACAGGAGAAAAACGAATTTCATGAAAATGTAGACACATACAATGAAGCACTGGCCACAATATTTCCAATATTGAGCAAAAACCAAACTGAATTTGTCCATGACGGCGGTGGTGGCATCGGTAGCAGCATTCACACAACAATGGTAGTGCAACAAAATGTAAACGTCTCACAGGATCAATTAAACTCACGTGTTGTAATTAAATCGTCGTCAACACCATCTGCAATGCCAAATAATAATACGTCTGCACAAAAACAACACAAACCAGATGCGCCCATGCTGAATTACATTTTTGATTCACATTTGGCAAACAAACATCGTCACTATGACCCAAGGTATGTGTGACCATAAAAGACATATTTCGACGATAACTTTAATGTTGTTTCATGTTCAATCACAGCTGAATGGGTAAGAATGAAAACAAACATTGGAATTATTATATGTGGTGATCTCAGCATACAGTTGCCGCATGTGATTTTGTGTGTTTACATATCACAGCAATGACACATTACTTGTTGTAAACAAAACACATCTATATTGCGCTTTTACTTTCAACAAAACTTGTGTTCTGACCCATTCATTTTATGAGGGAGAAAATGATAAATTGAACCAAATGGGATATTTCTCAACACATATACGACCATGTTAAATAAATATTCAAGTTGGATTTCTATCGAATTTTGTACAAAATGACAATTTTCATTTTATCGAACGAGAAAACACTCAGGATGGTGTTTAAATGAATATTTTTTTTGTCTGAAAACCAGGGACCGGTTCGCGCATATTTCTATGCTTGCCTAAATACGCTAGGTAACATAGATATGCCAAGCATAGCCGCAAACGCAACCGACGCATCGCCGTTCACTCTATATGAACAATACAACGAACATGTATGCAGGCGACCGTGCATTGAGAGACGTACGCATACAATATAGCTCGAATCGAATGGCGACGGGTGCGTTGCGGCTTGCGTCTCCGCTATGCTTAGCATAGCTATCAGGCATAGAAATATGCGCGAACCGGTCACTGCTGAAAACGCTTTGTGCTATGTTAAAACTGAATGTCAGTTGAGGTTTAGTGTGTGGTATACAGAGCATTTGTCAAAACCAAATAGAGAGAAACACTTGTAACGACTCATTTGAGCTTCCTGGCCACCGCCATAAACGAGAATAAAACGGAATGAATGTTACGTCTTTAAGCAGAAATAGCCTACGATAATGTGAATATGTTTTTTCGCATTTCAAATAAGTTTTCTCATCAAGCCATCGAAAACAACCATCCTCTTCTTCAGTTTAATTATTTATCGCACTCGTTCCATGTACTCTACATTCTTTCATCATTGCACTTTTGCTATGTGGGTCGAACGGTTTGATATCCCTGACCAACAAATGTATACTTTGGAATTTATTCTTTGAGTATGAAAACTACCTGGGATTTAAATTTCATTTTAAAATGAATGTTCATTTCGCTCTTTCGAAACACTTGAATATTTCTGATAACTTTGTGATACCAAGTGGAAAAGTGCATTTTACAGGTGTACACAATCGAAGTTAACAAACAAAGTGCAGAATGTAAATACAAAAAGCGCATATATGACGTGTGAGTAAATGCAATTTAAATTGAAGAGAAAGGTACAAAGGCAAGAGAAACAATTTTACAAATATTTTTTACGTATTTGAGGTCAGAATTTTCATGTCTCTCATGACTACACGAATAAGTGTTTGTTTTTTATTTATAATATTAAAACAATTTATTCGAAAACTGATTAAATTGAACTCAATATTTTTCGGGTGGCGTATAAGAATAATTGTATTATAATCACAAACCGTGGAGAAGAGGATGAACATGGTGGGAAAGGTCCTCTCTCCTATAGATAAGCATTTTTACTCAAAATAAAAGTATTTTCATAATAGAAAAATCGTTTTGAGCGAACAGAATTGTGACAAAATTGTAATTTATCTAAAATGCAACATAGTTGGTTTGGTCTATTTAATTAAAACTCTTTTAAAATTCAAAACTGTTTAATAGAATTATATGTTTGCACCGAGTAAAAAGACTTCTAAAATTCCAACATGATTAAGAGCTAAAGAAATTTCATTTTCAAATAGATACGGTCCACACTTTGATGATGTGCACGTTGCTGAAAAGGTGGCCAACGTTTCAGCTCAGCTCGGAAGTACCGCTTATCTAAATTGCCGAATTCGTTTGCTGCAGGATAAAACTGTAAGTGTAATGAAGCATTTAATGAATTATTCGTTTAAATAAATGGTTTACGAACGTATCGTGATTCAACAAAATCGGTTGCGGTATGTCCATAATTTAACATTATTATCTCAAAACTATTGCATTTTATTCATGAATAGTCGCTGACGTTTGTGAATATATGTATTATTAGATACGGCATGTATCTAACAAAGTTGCGCTTGAGTTGGTTTGGCTCAATCGTAAAATACAATGACATTAATAAACTCTATTTAAATAGATTTAATCTTTAATTTTTCGTTAGGTGACTTGGTTGAAACGTGAACAGAATAACTCACACATTCAATTGCTGACAATTGGTGTTCACACTTATACCTATGATAAGCGGTTTAGCGTTGAATTTGAACATCCATATAACTGGCGCTTACGTATAGCCGACACTAATAAATCCGATGAAGGTCTTTATGAGTGCCAAATTTCAACACATCCACCGCGCGCATTTCGAACCCAATTCCATGTTAAAGGTGAATGAATAATATTTTTTTAAATCATTGCGTTTATTTACAATATTTAAGTATGCAGTTCAGCTTGAGTGCATATGCACTCACCAGGAGCATCAATGAGTGAAAATGCAAATGGCACATATTAGGATTGGCAATCCCTTGTTCCAAGGCCAATATACACTGCAGAATTTTGAAAATTGATTGTAGTAATTCCGCAAAGTAATTTTTCTGCGAAGGATTTTATAAAGAAAGACAAATATTTCAGATTATGGCATTGGAATTTCAATATTACGGAATTGCACAAAAAAGCACATAAATATTTGATAGGACAATTTTATTTTGTGCAGCAATTTATTATCATTGTTTTCGACTTTAAACTGCCTTCCGGTGATTTAAAGTAAACTCAAATATTTTTATTATATTTTTATGACTAAATGATAAAGAAAGTGAATTTTCTGGCTCAAAGCATTCACAATGTTTTTCAGAAGTTCTGATTCAGTACCGGAGACACCTTATTATTCCATATAACTTTGAAATTGTCAGACCTGAATACATTGTGAAATATCATGGATAAAAGTAAAAATACAACTAAAGTTATCTTCCCGAAGATAAATTTTGAATTAAAAATTAAAAATTGACAAATTTCCGACATTTTAATGAGATTCAAAGAAAAAGCTGCTACAGAATTTGGGAAATTATATTATTTAATTCACAATTGATGAAAATTATTTGGCTGAAATTACGTGCTACAAAAGACCATTCATAAAATTGTTTCATGGCACAAAAAGCGATTAAAGAATTCAATCTCATTAAATATTTTTAATTTAAAATCAAACTTTTTTTTCTCAACTTCGTAGCTTCGTTTATCCATTATTTTAACTTCGATTGTTTGGTTTTAATTTTGCTTGATTCACTATTTCGTACATGTTTTCCTCGGAATTCGTGCAGTTTTTTTTTTATTTTGTTTGATTAACCGCAATTGAAACATCGTCTCTCTTCACTTCGTGCATTAAAACAAAGTTTAATTGACGATTTTGCGTGATCACCACAGTGACTCATGCCACCACCGCATTTCGGTACGATTTCTTTTTTCTTTCATTGGTACATCGTAAACTTGTATAGATTGTGATAATTAAAAGAAAGTCGGCGAACGAATAAATTAAACTTTTACGAAATAAAACAATTAGAATGAGCTGCGAGAAAAAGTTTGCCGCACAATTCTACACAACATCGCACGAGAGCTTGAGAAATGAGTGAACGAACATTTAAAATGCGAAGAAAGTATATGGCAGAAGGGAATGCAGTTAAATTGTACGGTCGATAAAGATGCTTTGGCGCATAAGAGACACAAACTTTATCGTTCGTAGCGATTTTTTCTTTAAAATATTTTTAAATGGATTAAATTCCACATTTTGTTGACAATTTCATGAATTAAGCACTATCTATTAGACATTTTTTTTATTTGCATTTCATGTTCTTCTTTTTTTAATCGTTTAGCTCCGGAAGTTATCATTGTCGATGAATTCGAACAATCCATAGTTGATAAATACTATGAAGTTGATTCTACCATTGAATTGATGTGCATTGTTCGTCACGTATCGATGCTCTCGTCCACAGTGAATTGGTTGCATGGCAACAAATTGCTAAATTCCGATATGACACGCGGCGGAATAAGGTAAGCAATCCAATCGATCCATTCCGTTGGGTGTTATTTGAAATTGTAGTGTTCGATACATAGAGTTCAAAATATTAGTTTCCATATTTTTGCTCATTAGAAGTCAGCAATGCGGTTGCACATTTCAATTTAAATTGAAAATTGTTGTGATTTCAACTTTCACTAAGCAGATGAGGACAATTCAATTCTCATAAAATTCCAAGAAAATGGAGAAATTTGTTCGACCCCAGAATGCTAGTGCTTGGTCACAAAGAAAACAACTACAAAACTGCATCAACCAACTGCGAACAAATGACCACCATAACATAGTATGAAAAATGTGAACATGATGAGAAGAGTAACTGCAAATTAAATCACGATCAAAAAGAAAAACCACATGAAAATCTCTATCATATCAAATTGTTCGTTTGCTTCATCCACTTTTCTTTTATAACAAGAAATGCAAGCTTGTCATGTATGACGTTTTATTCATTGGTCGGTTCTTGTGATTTTGTCACAAATGATGATTACTTTCATTCTACGTGGCTCGTTTTCAAATTACAAGACCGCACGACGGAAAATATTTTCTACGACAATATTACTGCAGTCAATTTTCGGGGTGAAAAAACATAGTAAACTCAGACCTAAGCATGATTAAATAACATTTTCGTTTTTTTGACCAAATGCTAGTTTCTTTCTATAGTTTGCTCTCGGTTTAATGACGAGAGAACTAATTTGCAGTTCATCTTCTCTCAATGTAGAATTCACAGAATAATTTGATTGACAACGATATGCTCTGGAAAAATGGAACTCTTGTTTTTTCGTTTTACCTAGTTATCATAAGTAGTATTTCACTTTCATGAAGAAAAAAGCTGTGAAAAACTCCAAATATTTCAAAACCAAGCTGACTTCAAAGTATTTTTCAAGAAATGTTTTACAAATCTCTCAAAAAATAAAATATTCAACGACAATTGTTTATATATGTTGATATATGATGAGGAATTTCCGACAATCCGACATTATCATGCATGCACTTCATCGATCTCATCTGTTTCGTTCACTGACAGAGTACAACATCGTTGTAGTCGTAACTTTCAATGGCATGCGAACGCAAGCAGTGCAAAAAAGACCGTAAAATGGGCTGTTGTATATTCGTCGTACGTGTATCGAATCAATAAAATGTTTATGAATCAAACGGGTTTTCACATCATCTCTCACTGCACTCGCCCTTTGGCATTCCATGTGATCTCCGGCGTGAAATATTCGACAATAAATTACATAGAAAATCTATTGAAGAACGCAATATTGTCAAATGACACAAGTGGCACGACAATATTCGCTCAATCAACGAGGTGAAATGGCATTGAGCACAAAAACGAACGGGTGAAGCCATCAAGCGAAAAACGACTCATGATTACGATGATAACAACAAGTATAAACATACATGAGTAATGTACAAGCAGTTTACATATGGAAAAATCAGCGTGAGAATCCTTATTTTGTTGTCATCGAAGCAGAATTCCGTAAAAAAATGCGAGGAACGTGATAGAAGAAAAATTGGAAAATTTTGAGTTTGTTTCGTCGTGTGAGATTATGTGAGGATAACGTATAAAATACGATATAGATGTAGATCAGTAGATTTGTATGCTGATCGACAACAAAGCTCTTTAAAAAGCAGATAAATATTTCTATTTTCTTTTTCCGGATGCAAAATATTTTGAAAAAAATGTTCTTTTCAATCATTCTGTTCTTCGTACACATTCCAAAACATTTCAACTTATTCTTTTTCCAAGAGTTCTAGTTTATGACACAACTTTCAGTTTAGTTCTTTTTTAAGACGAACGTAAACGTTTTGCATAACTAGCTTCGGAGTTTTGTACCTTTATACCTAATAAATAGAATCGAACGAAATACCTTTCTTTGAAAGCCGAATTCATTTATTATCAAATTCTATTGTCAACTTCTCATAGAATGTGGGGATCGAAAACGTGCATATCAAGCAATGTATTTGCGTATTTTCTCCTTCGAATTTGTTTAAACTATCAATAAGAAGATGGATCACCTGTTAGGTTCAATAAAATTCAATTAATACGCATGTTAAAAAGTTATTTTCTTGAAATACTTGAAAACAATTTCACCAAATCGTAATACAGTTTCTTTTAATAGTGGCGTTTTAATTACAATCATTGCAGTGTCAAAACGGATTTAATGGAAAACGGTGCAAATTCAACGCTTTTCATTGCCAAAGTACGTAAAACGGATACGGGCAATTATACGTGTTCCATCGGCCCGAATGATTTTCACACCATATACGTTCAAATTTTGAATGGTAATTTATTTTTTTCGCTTTCAATTTACATTTATCTTCACTCTTTTGAAGATTTTTAATAAAAGATTTAATTCTTTTTGCTACCACGCTTGATAACTATTTTCACCTTGAATTTCAGGTGAAAGTCTTGCCGAACTCTATCATGGCAGTGCAGTTTCATCTCAATTTTCGTTTGCACGACAAAATTGCATATCATTGTTTATTTCAACAATGATAATTTTAAGTCGTTATTTCAAAATATCGGATAAGTTTAATCTTAATAGCTACCAATCGTTAAGAAAATATTCATCGTAACCCGTTGCATTTGAAATTAGTTAATTGAATTTTTTTTACCGTTTTTAGTTAAGATTATTTTGAAATAATAAAGAAAGGCGATTTAAATGGAATTAGCATGTTTTTTTATTGATTCAAGTCATCTATTTTAATCGAAACGTAAGTATTCTACACGAAGGTCCTGATTTACTTACCTCCATAGCTTAATTTGAATCTCTCTAAAAATGGTTAATGAAAACAACTAGACTTTCTCTTTCCACACTTTTTTTATTTGTTTTTCATGCATTTTTGTTGCAATATGAAATGAATGAATTTTGATGCGTGTTATGATATGATCTATTGATTCGCCATGATTAAAATAAAAATGATGTTTTCATTAAATCAAAAGTTAAAAATAAATGGATTGGTGATGAATGAAGTGTGGTTAAATGATATGTTTGTTTTTTTCTTTTGAAATTTATATGAATTGTGTTTTGCTTTGTTAAAACTTTAATGTTATGATTCAAAAATGGTTAGTAAAGTTTGTGAATGTCCAAATTCCTTGAATGTGGTGCAATCTTACGAAATATGTTTAGATGATGATGATTGATGTTGTTGTGAAACAAAAATCAGTGATAATGTTGTTTGAAATGAAACCGCCACCGTTTTTTTTAAGTATCTAAGTTAATGAAATGATTATTTTTTTGATCAATGGAGTAAATGTGTTAGTTGCAATTAAATTCGTGGAAAAAGTGTATGTTGTATTCAAACGCTACCAGTGACCGATTCGACTGTTTGGCTACCTTGAACGTTTTGTTCAACAACGGCAGAGGGTAAAACGGCTGGAAGAACAGCTGGTTGTACATCCACTTTAAGCGATGGTTGAACGGATTGGTTGTCATTTGCCTCAATATTGCCAACAACTCCAACAACTGGTGCTACAACTGGTGCAACCGGTTCATTTGAAATGCTCAATGGAACGGCACTGCTTTTGGCCACAACGACAGCCGGAAGATCGGTTACGATTGGCAAAGCTCGATTATCTTCAACAGGTTGAACGGGTGGCTGTGGAGCAATCCGATTTTCGGACAAAGCATCTACAACAATTGATTCAGATTCTACGTTGTCATTACTTTTGCCTTGAACTTGTGATGTTGGCTCAACCGAAGCCATAACCGGTGGAATTTGTGAGAATTTTTGCACATTCTCCGTGATCACTTTGTTTGGTTGTTGTTCGTCCGGTTGAGCGACATTTGATCGTGATAAAACAACGGGCACTGATTGTAAATTGAAAACGGGATTTATTGCTGAGCCACTGAATGAACCGAGTATGGGTTGCGGTTGTTCAGCCAAAAAGAACAATCGTCGGTCGGAATTCAATGGCACTGTTGACGCTGGTGTTATATACGAATAGACGAATTTTTGTTTACTTTCATTTGGCGTTGGATTTAAATTTTCTAGTCCAACATTATTTGAACCGAATACTGATTTTGTAGATGATTGTGATTCGAGTTGTTGTTGTTGTGGCTGTGCTTCTGGTTGCGATTGTGGTTTATCTGGTTCCACTGAATCCATTATTTGATTGCTATCATCACTTTGGCTGTTACCAAAATTGACGAAGAAGTTTTGCACCGTTTCAAAAAATCCCGAATTGCTTGAACCATCTTGACGTGTTGCGATGTATTGATATGATGGATAAACTAGTACATATTGTTTGTTGCCAGCCAATAAATCAGATCTTTTGAATAAAACAAAAATGGAACAAATTTTTTTCCCAATTAGTCGACTGAACTGAAAATTTTATACATATTAACCTACTTGGTGAGTTGAACCGGTTGAATATTTGCAGGTGCTTGCACTTTAACCGCTGGCTGCAATGTGAATTTTGGTAATTCGGGTGATAAAAACACATATGGCCTAACAGGATAAACAGACACTGGTAAATTGCCAGTCACTGGTAATGCTGATGCAACTGATATTGCGCTGAGTATCGAAAACCACGAAATGAACATCTTGAAATTAGAAAAAGAACAACTTTACATTAATATATATATATATTTTTAAAATAAGTTTTTTTCGTCGAAAAAATACAACTAAACTCGTAAATAATTTCGAACAACAATAGAAATGCATCACTTTGACAATGATATACGACCCGAACTTCATGTGAATAAAGTTGAATGAACTAATGTACCTTTGTGCAATGAAAACAGTAGAATACAGTGACTATCTCGTACGCGAACAGAAAACTTAGTGCCAACTTTATTCGTTGGCGTTGTTCTTTTATAAACTCGGGTCGAAGAAGAACCAGAATTGTTAGTTTTAATGCGAATTTATTTATAGCCTGATGGCTATAAGACATTGAATGCATATGTACTCCATTTGACTATTTTTGTTTTTGTTCTTCTTTTAGCTCTTCATTATTTCTGTTCTGAAGATGCGCTCTCACAACAACTTGGCCAAACAAAACAGACATTGTGCTCGGATCGCAAATGTACATCGTCTGCTTTTTTTGTGTTCGATTTCATGCGATGCATGTTGGAATCCAGTTTTTCGTTACAAACATTGGTTTTATTACAGCATTCACCTTGAAATAGTACCAAGTTCATTTTCGTCTGAAACTCACAATTTCTTGTTTTCGCACACAGTGCACGGCATCAACGTATCATCGCATACCGTATTGAAAGCGAAAATGTGGAAAAGAAGATGAAAGAAAAATTATAAATGCCTACAGCACTGACCAACAACAATCAAAATATGCGATTATCAGTTACATGCACATATTCTTTTCACTTTAAATGGAAACAAACATAGAACCATTCCATTAATGGTGTAACTACTTCTATCTGCTTATGCTCATCTTTGTACACTTGTCCACCGTTTAAGACCATCCGACCGTTTCATCGCTTTTATGTTTAATCCATTAATATTTATAATATTTGCTTGTTGATGCTGTTGTCGTCTGGCTTTTAAGAATTCAGTCTGCTTCGAACTACTTTAATTTAACATCTTGAAGCGCAAAACATTTTTTTTCTTCTTCTCTTGTTTGCTGTTTTTTTTATGATTTGTTTACTTTGGTGTAATGAATCTTTTGTGAAGTTAGAGATTAGTTATAATTTAAATGTTCGACAAACGAAACCTATTTTACTTAGAATTTGCAATCCTAAAGGTATAAAATATAATCTCTCGTCAAACAAGTTTATTAAACATATTTAAGCTGTTTAATTCTTCCATATTTGCTTAATTTTGTAACAACAACAAATAAAACGAGGATAAAACAATCACAAATGTCATCTATTTTAATCGTGTTGATAATTGACGGTGATTTTCTTTTTCCGACATACTCACCAGAAAAAAAACCAAAAAATTAAATTCGAGATAAAATACCTTGTTATGATTATCATGTTAAACAGGCAGACGTCATAGTATAAGCACAGATAAGAAGTCTACTAACTGAAAACAATATGAATGAAAGTAAGAGAATCTTGAGTTTTATGAAAAGGAACCGGTATAAGAGCAAGATACGTCCGAGTGGCTTCTGGGGCGCCTGATCGTAATGATAACAACAGTTGCAAATATACACATTTGTAAAGTAAGTAAATGGCGATAATTAATTCAATCAACAAAACCATCAGCTCTGGACAGTTACGCATTTATATGCGGACAATATTACGTGGGACAATTTGGATTGGTACACATACAACTATTGTATGATTGCAACTCAGCATGTTTAACTTTATGCAAACCAAAACAAACAGCCGGTTGACATTCATCAAATTTCACTGATTTATCACTTACTTAGATGATTTGTGCAAATTATTTTCGCTTTTGTTTACCATTTAATGAATGACAATTGATGAATGATAAGTGTTTGCGACTTGGGCGGTCTTCCACAATTTTAAAGGGGAAACAGTATTGAAAATTTGCTATCATTGAAACATTTTTTTCATTCAAGTCTCTCTTATTCAGTGAATTTCTATTTATTTAAGCATTTCTGCTGCTTTTAATATTTAAGTACAAAAAAAACAACAACAATTAGATCATATATACATTTAAATAATGTAATTGCTGAACTGCGGTTCATTCTGGTTTACTTTCTGTATCTATCATCGATTTTATGCCAGATATCACCATTTGCAAAGCATATAATAAACCAACAACAGCCAAAAATCCACCATACACGTTCATTTGTTGAATGATGTTCAATTTCATTTCAAATGAATCGGTTACGACAATCACAGTTAAAATGCTCTGCAAACAGTATGCGAAAAATGTATTCACTCCAAATATCAAACCGTAACTGTCTTTGGGAAGCTCTTTGGCGATCTCAGCACTGAAATCGTTGAAAAGTTAACAAATGACCACTTTTGATATAAGATAAGATGAAATACCTTGATAGTGTAATGGTAAAATTGTAAAACATATAGAATAGTATATAGCCACCATAAGATAAGAAGCGATTTGGTGCGTTTGCCGTCAAAAATATCGCACAACTTGCACACAACGACATTACAAATAGTACCGAATTTACTTTTGATTTTGTGTTTATATAATTTGTACGCAGTCGACCGACGAGCAAGGCAATTGTGGCACTTATTAGAGTTGAGATTGCTTCAATGGCACCATTCCACATAACCTGAAAATTTAACAATACCATCAAATAATTAACGTCCAATGGAATTTTCCAGAAAAAAAAATGTCAGTCACCTCTGGCCGATTATCAATTGCAATCCAAACCAACTGCACATATGATAAAAACTGTAAAAATACACACATTCCGCATGCATACCAAATGCTCCATAGCACAACATGTCGATTTGAATACGAGTATTTTAACTGTTTGGACATTAAAACGAACGCTTGTCGCCATTTAACACGGTCAATTGATTGTTTATCACTCGTTTCGCATTGTAAATTACTGTGACTTTGCTGAATGATATCATCGGTCGATGTATTAAAATAGATACTCTTCTCAACATTTGGCAAAAATATGGCCATTATTGTGGCGGCAATTTGTGTAGTCAGTGTTATAAAATTCAATGAGTGTATGTCCATGAGTTTCAAATAAAGAAGTAATTGCGATAAAACACCGGAAATAAATCGTCCCATCAATAATGCGGCCCGTGTATGGGATGATACCGCTAAAAAATGTTCCTTCGATACTTTGGCATAAATGTATGCGAAATAAGACACTTCACATGCAATATAAAGTGAATAAAACACTTCAACCAACTGAGCACCGTAAAATGATCGTGTCCATAATAACAGTGACCATGTTATGATCCCAGCCAAACCAGTCAATATTACAATTGGCTTGTATCTGATGAGGAATTAAATGTATTTAACTTAGATTGATTTCGGCATTTTTGAGTTTTTTTGATTTAGTGAATCACCTCAACAAATCTGTAATCAAAAGCACCACAATCGACAGTCCAACACTAGAATACGTCGCAATTGGGTAAACATATCGATTTAGCTGAAAGAAAATTGGAATTAAAACCCGTGTCGTGAATTTGAAATTAATTAAAATTGTATTACTTCTTCTTTGGTCACATTTCTGTACGGCTCATGCATATAATCACTGACATACGGTTCTGATGGTCGAATTTCTTTGAGAAAACCGAAAAAACACAGTAACAACGATATATAATACCAATTCATCTCTTTTTTTACATGAGCACAAATTTCAATTGTTCAATCATCAACAATATTTAAACCGGTTTGACGTCTGTAGAACTCATGACAAACTGATTTTGCAATGAACGTTTGACGTTTTTTTTTAAATTAAATTATGTCATTTTACCATTAAACTCGTTAATTTCAAATAATAAAAAAAACTTGTAGCATGTGTCTAATATCGCTTATCAGCTCACATTTAGAGCACATAGTACACAACTGATATATCGACATATCATCCGTGGACTAGCAACACATTTTTATTTACAAAAATAATGTGATATAATATTACTAACGACAAAATTGGCTTGAAATCATTTGCGTGCACACAGCTGCTTGTGAAATAAATTCCGCTAGTTCTTCTGACAAATCAAAGGTTTGTTCCTTATCATAGCTTGTGACCAGGTGTCCGAGGGGTTGAATTTGCTAGGTTTTTTTTGGCGAAGAGATCTTTCAATTTGCTAGGGTTTTTTGAGCCAAATACTCTGAGACACCCCCCAGGATGAAAGAAATCAAAGAATGCATTTTTGAATTTGTGAGAGACCAAATAGAAAAAGTAAAAAGTTATCCCTTTAGATTTTGGGAAAATTTTGAAATAAATGTCGTCCGGAAACCAAATTAAACAACTTGTTGATATCCATTATTTATTTATTGCAACCAATTTAACCATGGTTAAATGAATTGTTCAATGTTCTTTTTGGGTTTCGTAGTCTATTTGTTAAATTCTTGAGTGATGCATATCATATTTCGAAAATGAAATAAATATTTATTTTTGTTAAAAATATTCAATGCTACAAGCATATTTATTCATTCATTTTTATTCATTTCAACAAATTCTTTGTCAAAATTTCAATAAATAGTTCTACATTGGCAACTAATTTTCATTTGGGTTTCTCTCAAACTAATGTATACATATAAATATAAATTAAAAACTACCACAGTAACAACGCTTCGAAATAGAAGCAATTTTCATATAGTCACATAATTTTCGTCGACCACCGAATTCCTATTCAAATCGGATTTTTTAGTGTTCGTTTCATTTGATGACGGTAGGCTCGATATCACCATCAGCAATGCATATAAGCAGCCCACAATAGCCAAAAATCCACCATACACGTTCATTTGTTGAATGATACTTAATTTGAGTTCAAATGTATCTGTTGCTACAATTGCGACTAAAATGCTTTGCAAACAGTATGCGAAAAATGTGTTCACACCAAATATCAATCCATAACTGTCATCGGGAAGTTCTTTTGCAATTTCGGCGCTAAATTAAAGAAAACAAAAAGTAGAAATATTCTTAAAATAGAATTTGGAATTTATATAATGTGTCTCAAGGTCTTTGTGATAAGATATATTACCTTGATATGGTTATAGTAAAATTATAAAACATGCAGAATAGTATATAGCTGACGTAAGATAAGAAACGATTTGGTGCGTTCGACGCAACAAATATAGCACCACTCGCAGACATCGACAGTGCAAATAGTACCAGCTGAATTTTAAATTTTGTATTTATATAATTTACATGCAGTCGACTAGCTAGCAATGCAATTGCTGCACTAAATAAAGTTGCAACTGCTTCAATGGCACCATTCCACATCACCTGTGAATTTAACAATAGAAATCAATGAACAATGACAAAATACATTAGCAAAATTAACAAAAATCACCTCTGGCCGATTGTCAATCTCAATCCACACTAGCTGCACATAAGAGAAAAACTGCACAAATGCACACATTCCGCATGCATACCAAACGCTCCATAGTACAATTTGTCGATTTGAATAGGCGCATTTTAATTGTTTCCACATCAAAGTAAACGCTTGTTGACATTTATCACATTCGACTGATTGGCTATCGCTTAAATGACATTTATAATTACTGTGACTTTCTTGAATGATTTCATCGCTTGATGTTTTTTCTCGATAAAAATAAATACTCTGTCGCACGCTCGGCAAAAATACTGTGATTGAAGTGGCTGCTATTTGTGCTCCCAGTGTAAAATAGTTTAATGTGTGTATGTCCATTAGATTAAAGTATAAGAATAGCTGCGATAAAATACCGGAGATAAATCGTCCCATCAATAATGCGGCCCGTGTATGAGATGATACAGCTAAAAAATGTTCTTTCGGCACTTTGGCATAAATGTATGCAAAATATGCCACTTCACACGCCACATATAGCGAATAAGATACTTGGGTCAGCTGCGCACTATGAAATGATTTTGTCCAAAGCAACAACGACCATGTTACAATTCCGCATATTCCATTCAATATGATGATTGGCTTATATCTACAGAAGTTAATTTTGATTTAGAATTCCATGAACTTTGACAGTATTTGAGTCATTTTCTCTATTTTAACACTACCGCTATAGTAATACTACATTAATAAATAGTTACTATTTGTACACATTTCTATTGTGTGACCACAACAATTTTTGCGAACTCTAATGTGAACAATGCGACTCTTTGTGTTTAAAATCTACATACAAAGAGTTATTATTCACATTGGAGTTCGCAAAAATTGTTGTGGTCACACAACCGAAATTTGTACAAATAGTAACTATTTATAAGCACTGTTAATATAGTATTACTACAGCGGCAGCGTTTTCTATTTTCATTGAATAAAATATTTACCTCAAAAGGTCGGTAATCAGCAGAACGATAACAGACAGCACGAGATTTGAATAGGTCGCCACTGGGTAGACATATCGATTCAACTGTGAAAAGAAAAAAAAGTGCAACGAAATGAGGCATGTGCAAATGTGCGAAGAATATAAATAATCTTACTTCTTCTGAGGTCACATTTCTGTATGGTAGTTGCATATAATCACTAATAAATGGCTCTGACGGTCGAATTTCTTTGAGAAAACCGAAAAAGCACAGCAACAATGATATGTGATACCAATTCATAATTTTGCCACTTAAGCACTAATTATTTATTTGCTGAACGATCAGCAATCTAAAAACTGGACCGACGTCAGCGAAACTTACGAAGAAGTGATTTTATGAAGACGAACGATTGGCGTCTCATTTTTTTAAGTTTCTTTTTTCTTCAAATGTAATGCGTGTAAAGTGGTTATATCATTTCCACGGTTTGATAGTTAGCCCAATTTCAGCTTACGACATGATTATAACATGTAAAAGTTGCTTATCAGCTCTTATAACAACACTAAGCAAACTGAATGCACACATAATAAATTGACGTTCTACCTTACTCGATTTGATTTGATATTTCATTTTGTTCTGTCAAATCAATTTGTCACAAAATAAAGTATGATGTTTGTGTTAAGTACTTTATCTAAAGTAGAATGGGATACAAATCATTTCCAATTGTAAACATACTACGATGAGTAAACATTGAACATTCTAATCTTTATTAACAGCAAATGTTCAATTCAAGGTTTATTTCAAAAAATGACGTAATAATTTTGATATCCATTTACTCAAACTGAAGCAAAAATTATTCCAACTTTCTGTGAACATTTTTTGAACGAAAAATTATTTTTTCCACTTGAACAAGTACAGAGTGCAAATGACATCAAACTTTGTGACACACATATCATTGCAATGTGTTTGTGTGTGTGTGGAAGTATTGACAATTCAGTATTCATGACACATAGTATATTATTGATATTAAATTATATACAATTTTTTTTGACTTCTTGGTGTGCAGCAATCATCTGATTAAATAAATAATAATTACGGCGACAAGAAACAAACACACAACACGAGCAATAAGATAAATGAGATTTTTGAATTAAATTGTGCTGAACGAGACGATGACTAGAATAGAATAAAACTATAAATACTAAAAAAATATGTGTTACTATGCGACTATCATTGATTTGAAACTAAATCAATTAAACTTGTGATTTTCATTTCATAGTGTTTTATTTCCTTTTTGTCATCCAAAGTGGTGCCTTGTTTTTTGTTTGTATATTTTTCGTGTGACAATTTATTTTCTTTTCTGTTTGCAATATTTGTGTTCAAAAAATGTCTTGCTATTTTAAACACCAACAAGAAACAACGATTACGATTCCAAGCAATGTTGACATAAGCGGTACGAGTCGTAATGCTTTTTTGCAGATTTTTTTTATTTTTCTAGTTATTTTTAAAATTGCAAAATATCAAAACACGTCGACAAATTCAACCACAAACTCATTTCATTTGCAGGTACAACGTACTACAATATTCATGTGTCGATTGGTAATGTAAATTGGACAGTACGTCATCGCTATAAAGAGTTTGTGGAATTACATACGAAACTTGTGAATGGTCAAAGTATCGGACGCGATTTGTTACCACCGAAAAAGGTTATACCTTGACATTTGATATTTAAACAGTGTTTTTTCATTCATAGCCTATCAAAATATGACTAACATCATATTAAAATATTGAATTTCATTGAAAGTGTATGATTTCATTTTAATTTTCAAGGTCATTGGCAATCGATCGCTACAATTTCTGGACCAACGTCAAAAAGATTTGGAAAAATACTTACAAAAAGTTCAATTTTTTCTACAACAACACATGTGCCGAGAATTCGTTGAATTTCTCGAGCTAAATAAATATGACATTGTTTATTTACTACAAGATTTGGCAAATACATTTTTCCAACAATCCGAATTATTGTTGCAATTTTTCAACAAACGATATGAATTCTCGGTGCTTGAGGTGCATGCCATTTCCGAGCGATTGAAATTGCCATGTCCGGCAAATGATACCATTGAAAATATCTATGATTTTACGCATGTGGTCGATTTTTGCTCACAAATTGAACGTTTAACCATACGGCCAAGAAATGTAAGTTTTTGAATTTTTTTACTCAAAAAAATAACGACAAAAATTTTCTATTTTCAGAAGCGAATCAGCGAGTCGGCGTCATTTTTTGTCAATCAAAATTCGCCGATTGGCACGTCAAATATATTTCCGGGGAGTTTAACTTTCGATTTGGTGGCGTTCAAAAATCTGAAAACATTACAAGTATTTGGTATTAATGTTTCCAACATTACAAATATGGGATCTTTACGTCAGACTATACAACAATTAGCTTGGCACAATACATCAGCAATGCAAATAAATGAATTTTTGCTATGCGACCGCGTGCACAAAGACGATGCTCACGATGAGAATATTTGGCCAAATTTGGAAAATATCAATTTATCAGACAACAAATTAACCGTCATTGATTCGAGCATTAAATTGGCGCCGAATTTGAAAACGCTGGTCTTGGATCAAAATCAAATAAAAACCATTGAAAATTTAAGTAGTTTACCTTACATGCAAACGCTCAGTCTTTGTGACAACCAAATTGCACGGTGTATTGATTTACATTTGATTTTGGGGGGTAATCTAATCCATTTGAATTTATCGCAAAATAATTTACAGTCATTGGAAGGCTTTCGAAAATTATTCACTTTGGTAAAATTGGATGTGAGCTGTAATGCAATCGATTCAATCGATGAAGTTGATTATGTTGCGAATTTGCCATGTCTCGAAGAACTCATTTTGACTGGGAATCCAATTGCGGGAACCGTTGATTACCGATCAAGGGTTTTGGCACGGTTCGATGATCGTATTAATGACATTTATCTGGATAATGAAAAGGGAAATGCGCAAGAAATTGACACAGCGCTGGCTTTGTCCGCTCTACGACAATCCGAAAATCTCTCGGCGTTAATGAAACAAACACAAATCTCACCGAATAAATCTCTTAATTCATCCAAAATTGGTGGCGTAGCATGTGATAGAGTGGCATCCACATCAGCAACGAATACAAATAAAAGCTGAAACAATTCTATTTTTTGTATGAGCCTCATTTTGAACCGTATATACATATATTCTATAATTTTTATTATAAATTGTAATTTTCTATTTGTGATTCACAGCACGTGAAATATGTAAATCTCGATAATCGAATGAATCAGGCATAAATAAAAAAAAACAAAATTATACTCAATTTTAGTTTTGTAATAAGTTACATGAAATTCCATTCTTGTGTTTATCGATAAAACCTGTAAATAAATTGGGCCAATAAAGTCTTTTTAATAAAACTTTTTTTTTCATTTCATAAAACTTAAATGAAATTACCATAAACCAAAGTTATTGCTCATCAATCGAAATTGAAAATCAGTTAACATATAATGCACGTCTAAATGAGTGCAATATAATAGTTGAAATGTAATGGTAAGTTTTGTCAGAAGTACCAAAGTTGATCAATTTCGAAATGAAAAATCCGGTGCTAATGAACTTCAAATGGATCATAAAAAATAAAAATGCTCATAATATACTGGGTTTGTTATACAGTGTTTTTTTATTGTTTCCATTAAAATGGTCGTTCGTTTTTCCCCTTACAAATTCCACAGGCAAGCAAATATATTAGTGATTGATTACGTGATGGTTGACAAAGTAAAATATAATATCTGAGGTTTTCCTTTGGGTTGATTTCTGGCTCATCGATTATTTGTAGCAAAAAGTAGTTCCTGCCATTATTGTATCTTATTAAGCGATATATTTCTACATGTATATAAATCTATAACATTGATTAAATGACGAATTATTAATTGAAATTGAATTGCATTCAAAAAAGAGGAAAAACATTTCAACAATGAAATTGAAGCATTTTTGTTCGATTTAAATGTGGTTTTTGTTCAGGAGATTTATTCCACATGCAGATTTAAATACCAAAACAATGATCACAGAATTTTGACACACTACATATTATGAGAGTAAACGTTGCAGATATTTGATTGAGATTCAACAAAGACTATTGAATTAACGAAGCAATCCCAATCAAACAATTTGAGTGAAACCGATTTGCCATTTATTTGAACATTCTTTTTTTTTCTCACATAAATACATGTTGGATATAATTTTTTTTAATGTGTACCTTTCATTAAATTCATGATTTTTGAACAAATTGGTTCCATGTAAATTCATATTTTACTCACACAGCACTTACAAGCATATAATATCATCAAAATTCAGAATAATATAACATCTTTTCTCGCATGCAATATACTTTTTTTTTGCACACAATCCATACAATACTCTAATAAAACATAATAAATCATTTTTGTCTTTTAATTTTTGTCATTTGGTCAATTGTTCTGATTAATTGGATTTTTTTTAATCACGTTGCTGTTTCTTTTTTTCCCATGCCATTTGCATACTCCAAATACTCAATGGTCGCATATAACCCAAACTGCGGAAATATCGGCCGACAAAGAAAGCTTCTGGTGTTTCAAAATTCATTCCAAAACGTTGCGATATTGATTTATATAGGCCACCAGCTGTTTGAAATGCTTCGTCGGTCATTCCCTGAAACACCATAAAAATTATTCAATAAAATATTCATATCCCATAAAAGTGAAAGATACCATGCATATTTAAAAAAAAACACGGTTGATTTATACGTACTTCGTAGAGCATAGTTGAAGCGAGAGCATATGTCACACCCGTCCAAACTTCTTCCGATTGAATTGTCGTGTAGTCAACATGACCTGGTTTATCTGGGTTTGAGTTCAATACAAATCCATTGACAGCCCCCAAATTTCCATCACAAACACACATCACATTATTATCATAGATTGTCTTTAACGCGGCGCGCACATTTTCTTTTGGAAACACCTGACGGACCAAAGAAGTAATGCAAATGGATTATGAATAAAAAAATCAATCGAAAAAAGAACTCAAACTAGTCCATCGAAATTACGTCATAATCGAATCCACAGCATCTCAAGTACCAATGGCCACACAGTTGATCTGCCATCACAACGGATTTCTTTGAGCTGCTCATTGTGTCAAATTTATAGTAGGTTTTATTCCATAATTTATCTTCGTATGCCTTTTTGCCTTTGTCCAAAATTTCAGAATACTTTATGTAATCTTCGGGCATGTCGACGAGGTTGGCCATCGTTGACATGCACTGAAGGGCAGCCAGCCATAATCCTGCGCAATAGGCACTCGGTCCGTCCTGAAAGAAATATCACAATTATTTATTAACTGATAAAAAACGTTGTCAAGTGATTGGCAATGATGATTTTCGTACCATAACCCATGTGTCAAAAGTTTGATCTGGTGAGCGACTATTTTCAATCAAACCATCACCATCTTTATCCCATTCTAGTGTTTTTTCGATTAGCAATTTACAAGCGGAATACATTGCTTTCAAATATGTTAAGCCGTCCATCATGCAAAATTTCCCATTGCTTCCATTGATATAAAGTGAGGCTGGTTTTTTGGCCTTTTCATTATCTGGTGATGAGATTTTATGACGATTGTCTTGAATATGAAGATCGAACACACTGTCCTTGTCAATAAATTCAATGGATGTGAATTTATTCGGATTGGTTTGTGCCGATTTCGAGAGCCCGTTAAGTATTTCATAATCACGATACACTTGCAGCACAAATTTCACATTCAAATCCCGCCACTCGGCCACATCATGAATTGGGTACGAATTGATTAATGTGAACGGTTCTTCAGCTGGATCGCCCAAGTCATGCGGAATTGATGACATCATTTTTCTTTTTGTAGCCTTGCCGTCGTACAAATTTTTTCGAAGCTCTGGTAATTCCATTGAAATCGAATCACGAAAATCGTATTGTATGCTTATTTGTAGATTTGGCCATAGGGATGCCAATGCGTGTGATGCATAATAGTGGACGTCGTAAGTATTGTACATTCTGTACTCATGACCTTCCAAATAGGCAAATCTACCGTAAGCCAAACGGGGATCATTGTAATCAACGTCTTCCGTTTGTTCGAATGTTAACCAAAGACTTCCGCCATCGGATATGAAATAAAGTTCATTAAAAATGGCACTCTTATACCAATCTGGTAGCTCAGCATCATTGAGAATTGGCTGTTGCCAATTGCAAATTATCTGTTCCCATCGTTCATAGCTTTCCAATGCGTATGTACAAATTTTATGGGCTGCATCACCATTTCCACCAAAGAATTTGGTATAATATCTACGATTGAAAATGAATACAGTGAAATTCCATTTCAAAAATGGACGCAAACCAATAACCAAGTACCTGTTATATTCTTTGATTTTTTTATGAAATTGTATTTTCGGCATGTCCCATGCTAATGCAAATTCCAAATCGTTACTGGTATGCGGCATGACCTTTAATTTCTTACAAATGGCCACACCAACATCCTTGCCTATAAATATGTGTTGAAAATGAATTGTTAGCAGCACATTGATTGATTTCAAAAGACGCAAATAGATTTGTTGGCATGCGAAATAAATTCGCAACAATAAAAAATACCTTTGAGTTTTTCATCGGTGCTGGCTTCGGTGAGTTTTCCATTCTCATTTAGGTCTTTCCACAATTTCTCACCGTTACCAAATGGATCGAATTGCGTGCATGAGCTCAAATTGTCATTATCACCTTTGCACGCAACCGCATACGTACATTCCATGCCGACAATCGTCTGTTTTATACAAATCGATTTAATCGATTCGCTATCTAATGCTGTCGTCGTTGGATCGCCTATATAATTTATTATATGACATATAAGTGTGTGTTCCATCGAGACATTGAATTACTTGTCTGATTAAATATAAATAAAAGGCTAAAATTGTGTGACAAACCTTCGGCATCTTGCTTTTTTGTGCCGGTGCCATTTTTAAATGTAAACGTAATCGATACGTTGCGTTCTTCATTGCCCACATTTTCCACTGTCCAAACAAAAACGGCACACGGTAACGATGAATCTTTATATTCATGTGGTAAAAATGGTGAAATTTGACGACAACACAACTTAATGCCATACTCGCTGAGATCATATTCAGACCAAGCACGTGGATACAATCCCGTATATGTGCATTTATTGCCGTCTAACTTTGATTCCCAACTTGATAACGATGATTTCAATGGGCGCCTATTAATGACAAAAAAGACCAGAACAACATGGGAACAATAAATAAAATTGATGCCGGTTAAATGACTTGTACGTTTTTGTGAATACAACGGCAGTTAATTTTAGGCAGTTGAAACGAACACTCCTACTATTTTATACATAGTCAAACATTTTTTTCCTTTAAAATCCTTTCACATGAATGTTGTTTGCGATTCGGGTTTTTATGTCATATTCATGCTGTTGACAAACCATGACATAGAACATAATTTCCCGAATAATATTTTATGTGTATTTGCAAAAAACAACTCATACTACTGACTTAATGACATGAAATTGGTTTTTGCGTACAACATTGTCTTGTCGAATGGCATGAAGAAAATGACTCTTTCATTTGCCATTGCAATTAAGGAGCTAAATGTGGGCCATAATTTGATTTCGGTTCGTGTTAGTTACAAATGAAAATAAAAAAGGAATTGTGTTTGAAGTGGAGAAGGGAAAAAAAGAAACATCAAGAGGCACACATCGGAAATCGCATGGAATAAAACAATAATCGAAATAGTGTAGACTGAATGACGCCAACGAGCTTCGACTTCACAAGCTTTTATGAATTTATTTTATTTCTTTCACAGTTTGCACAACACACACACATGTATCCACTGTGTATTTTTTGATTTTTGTTCCTTCCGATACCCAAGCATAAGTACAATAATAACCATCATAAAAAAGGCAACGCAACGCACATTGAGCCGCCAAATAAACCAGTCAGCCAACACTAATCGTATTCCATGTTAATGCTAAAAGCACAGAGACTTGTGTATATCGCTTGAATTAATGGCACCAACATAAACCGAGAACGAAATTATCGATTTTTTTTCCACATTTGCTACAATGCTTCTACTTCTATGCTGCCTCAACAAGTCGCTCGTGAAATATGAAAATCGACATTTAAATATAAATTCATAGATTAAAGTACACCACTCACTCATAGGTAGACAAAAGGCTTTGGAAAATAGTTTTGCCACTGGCATCGCCAATCGTCACGATAAATTGATTGGCATATACCACATTGTATTCATAGATGCCTGGCCTCAGTTGAAATCTACAAAATTCACCAGCGTATCCACGTCCGATGGTTCCGCTACCAATACCTCCTATTGGAACTCCGTAGATTTGACGTGAATGTTCAAGATAGTTGTAATCCATAACACATTTTCTACCTTCTTTGGTCACTTTTGAATAATACATCAAATATCTGTAAAATAAAAACGTTCGAAATCAAACATGATCAAAATTTGAGTTTTTTGTTTGTATAATTTCAAGTCATTAAATAAAACGTTCAAAGTAGAAAAAGTAAAATTCCACAACTGGGTCATTGAATAAATAGTCTTATCGTTATTTACGTCTTATCAATTAAAAAACAAGTTCTAAAATTGTTATATATTCACATATTCGGATTAAAGTTTTATTTCTATTGAAAATATCGAGAGGAGAGTATGTTTTCATTCAGACATTACTCAGCCATAAGCGCTGAATAACATACTCTCTTCTCGATATATTCAATAGATTTATTCATGCATATTGAACTATAATATAATAACTAATAAAATATTTAGAGAGGGAGAAGGGGGTTTGTGACATTGCAAATGTACGATTGATGTTTTGTTTACATTGGACAATCCCATATTTCATTCTATAAATTGTCGTTCGTTTGTTCTTCCCTGCTTGATAAATGTATCGCATGTATAGGTTCATACAGTTTTTTTTTGGTATGTACAATAAACCATTTATCGTGGCAGGGTATTGGCGCATCCGGAAAGACGTAATGTCATTGCACTTGACGGGGCAAAAAAACACAAACGAATAAGCACAAGTACATTCACTCGCCAAGCGAAACTACGAGTGCATTGATAAGTACAATAAAATCCTTTCGAAGCAACTCACATCCAATTATTCGAAAGAAAAAAAATTCTTTTTCGTATACACATAGGTTCGCCATGAAAACGTTGTTTCGGATTTGCATTTTTCAATTGGAAATATGAAGGGTGAATGACACTCTCAATTGAGTTGATAGAATGCTAACATCATTTCAGGAGGATGAAATGTACAGACAAAATACGGAAATATGGGAAATATTTCGCCAGGTGTGAGATGAATGTCATTTGAAGAGGACTTCAGTTTTCGCTCGACTTTCCAATTTGTAATAAAACAGTAATAAATCAAATGAATTTTAAACAAATAATGCACGTAATAAAAGCGAACGAAAAGAAAGAAATTGTCGAGTCATAAATTGAGATGTGGGATAATAAAACAAAAGCACGATATGTATATGAATATTATGGATTATTATATTTGTGATCATGTTTGTAAAAGCTTACCTCCATGCCAATGGAATGAGTGGCAGGCTTTGTCGCACCGATGGCCGTATATTTTGTGTACGTTTCTCCGGATATTTGTGATTGAATTTCATTTTGATACCATATTGTGGCACAGCCGATGGTAATTCAGCCGACAACAAATCATAGCTATGCGTTTTTTGTGGTTGTTCGTCATCAGCATCCACATTCTTCATATTATCGACGGCATTTTCAATTGTTATTCGATTTGATTCACTCATGTTGGAATGACAATTGTTTTTATCTGACATATACACTCACACGCTCACCAACAAACACTTTTCAATCAAAATGTCTTTTTAATACAATATCAAATCGATTGGAACCACTGAAGCAACCAATAATTTCAATATAGAAATCTCCATTCGCTTTGATGTCACTGACATTCAATTTTATAACTTTCACAATCGATTTATATGCCTAAACAATACTCAGAAGAAGATGAAAAAAACACAGCACATAAAGTGAACAAGCAACTTTGATCGAATACACGAATTGTAAATTTATTCAACCACACGCAACGACTGTCACATCTGCTCTGGCAGAACAGTTCGGTTCGCTGTTAAGCACTTGGTGATGCGATACAGTATGTGAAAGAGAACACAATAATAGAACCGCGTATGCGCACAACGCACGCCAATCACATTGATTTCGTTTCAATGTAGTTGTGCAATTATTTTGCCGGCATGTATACAGGTTGGTTATTTTTAGTTTGACATCGAACGAATGAAGAATAAAAAAAACAAAAACATTTTTTTTGGTATATTGGATAGAATACGAATCAATATTATGGTGTATGTGAATAGCAGCAGCTGAAACGGTTTGTCACATAAATGCTGTTTTTTGTATATATGTATAGGCGGTATGTTTCGGCACTTATCATTAATGAATTTCACTTACCAAGATTGCTGCTTTCATCACCGACGACAACAAAGTGTTTTTTTTAATACCATTTATGATTTAGCCAACTTTGATCGGACTAATTAGTAGCGATAAAAGTGAAACGAGCGCACAAAAATTCAAGTTTATCGCTTAATATTGCTTAAAGCACTTGTTGATGGGCATTTAACAATTTATAGATAAAAATGAAGATTTGTAATGAAATAAGTGGAAACACCAGTAATTTTAATTTTTGGAAGATTTAACGAAATGATTTATTTCTCTTTGAGATTGATTTTTGTATATAAGTTTTGTAAAAAAATTTGGGTTTTCTATTAGAAAAAATACAATAGTTTGGTGTGCATATTTCCTTTTTTGTATCACAAAGATGTTTCTTTTTCTTTTCTTTTCTTTTCTTTTAAAATTTAAATATTTGTTGTGATACCTGATGACTGTTATATTGATAGGTTATTGAAATAATGCCAAGATCAGCAGACTGAACTGCCTTGGCGGTATTTCAATAATCTGTAAATTTTTGTATTTCATTCAGGCAAAAACTATTTAGAAGCTAATTTCGAATTTGAATTTTTTTCCTCGCCCAATTCTATGTTATGCTCGTTGATTGCTGTATCCAGACGTGACAGCGTATCAGCCATTATTTCAACAGTGTTTCGTTGAATTAATATGGAATTCAAGTGTTGCTCATTCGTATATGTCATGTTCTCACCGTCCATATTCACTTCTAATGTATTCGGTTGCACCTGATTCTGCTGTGCTGTCCGAACTTGTTCTTCCTCTAAACGTAGGCGATCCCGTGTTTCATCCAATGACCGTCTAATAACACCGAGAGAATCTCGTTCGATGTCATCCATATAATCCCAAAATTTGGTTGTATTCTTTTTGTCACGCATAGCCAAAAACCATAGAAAATTCAATGCGTCCATTATGACATCGGTGTTTGTGAGAACATCATATAATACGTCGCCTTTGGGCCATTTACAGATGCGATAACGCCAAATCCACATAAGCTTTGCGCAACGACAAAATGGTGATACCTCTGGTTCTAGACCTGCATCGACCGCATCTATTTCAGCCGCGATCATATCCTTGTACACTCTTATTAAAACACCACGAATTTTATCGTGGTCTGTAACGTCCAGCAAATATTGAACGTGAAAAAACTTGGAATCAATCGTTTTGAATTGTCCAATATAGGATTGTAGCAATTTCATACCTAGTGGAGAATCGCAAAAGAAAATAATAGAAATAATCAACAAAAAATCGAAATAATCAATAAGAATAGAAAAGCAATTCTTACCCAGTTTACCATTTTCTTTGACCGACGTTTGCTTCAACATCAACATTAGATGTTTACCAAACTCTTTATGGATGTCTAATTCCAATGAGTCGTCTTCAAGTTTTTCCTTGCCCATATTTTTCAACAACATTTTAGCCAATCGACATGCTTTGGTGTGCAATAATTCGTTTCCAACTGTTTTCAATAGTTCTGTGACAAAGTATAGGCCCATTTCAAATAAATAAGCGCCACGATAAATTCGCAATCGATGTGGTTCAAACAAGTCTGTCGCCAATAATACGTAAAACATAACCGCCATACTAGATAGTGATACGCGTCCATTTTGCAAATAAATATTCAACGTCACTTCTTTTTCTTCGCTGGAATCATCAAAATTGTTATATTCATATGGATGCAATGCACGACGTTGGCCCAGCCCAATCAAATAAATCGGATTTTCGATTAATTTTCTCAAAACATGAATAAGCTGTACAATACGTTGACGGGCATGTAAACGTGTGACTGGGATTTCATTCTCCTTTTGAATATTTATTGGTATCTTTTTGGTATCTTTTTTTAGAATTTTTGTTGGATCTGATAAGTCCATGGATCCAAGCGGTTTTTCAAACATTTGAATAATTGTACAAATGAGAAAATTTCGTTCGTTTTCACCATAATAACGAAAGTGGCCAATGGTTGCTGGTACATTGTTGGCAACGTGCTCCAAAATTGGTTCCAAAAAACTTAAAGTTTTTTCTAAAAAACTGTAAATACGCTGCAACTGAGCCTCATACTCTAAAAACTTTAGATTTTCTTTGCCCAACTTATTGCAAACCGCTTTTGATAATGGTAAACCCGAAATATACGATAGGACTGCGTCCAATGCCATGGAAAAAGCAATGAGCTGTGGATTTTTTGGATTTATTAACATTTTTTGAAAAACTTTCATCACACTTATTGCTGTACTGTCTTTTCTTGCTGAATAGATTGCTAGCATCAACGGTACTGTTATAGTTTTTTGGTCGATCAAGCAGGCGAGTTCGATGAGAATCGATTCGCATTCTTCGTAAAAACCAAAGTTTAGTAGCTGATTATCCTCGGTGATGTGCGAGAGAACTATGTTTGTCAATGCATTGCAGTCAATATTATTGACTAGCTCATTGTATTTGACATCTTTGATGATATTCAAAACCTCTTTCCCTTGACCATTTTCAAGCAATCCGGAGATATGGCTCAGGAAATTGTCTTCAGTAAACGTTTCATCATCCATTTCGACTGACTGGATAAAATAACGCTAACGAAAAAATGTTAGTCACCACTTTTTCAATGATGCTTTTCTGAAATAAATCACGGATAATAATCAATAATGCAATTTATTTTCGTTTATTGATTGCTTCGACGATTTATTATTTATTTATTATTTATTTCTGTTTTTTTTTCTGAATCAAAATGCTACTTACTGTTTGATTTTAAAAATAATTTTTTATTTGCAATACAGTTTCAATCGGCTTTCTTTAGGCTACGCAGCTCTTAAACAGAGTCCATAACCTCACTGCAACATTTTTTCATTGACAGTTCATGCTTTTATCTGTCCCAGTCTTTTGTCACAAAATACAAATTTCAATTCAAAACCGGTATAATATTCTAATATGATTTTATTAACACTTTTTTCAACATTTTTAATTTTTTATTACACAAATTTATTATTGTACTACATTTATTGTTTCACTTTAATAATGATACGTGTGTTGATTGGAAGACTTTCTCTCTCACGATACATTTTTTTAACATTTATTTGTCTTTCTTCTATGTTATTCGTTAAAAACGTGTACTGTCAGTTAAATCCCTGTCAATTTCACCGTTTGCAACCTGAATTAAAAATAAATGAGCACAACATATTTAAATATTTATATTTATTATTACAGTATCTTGTCTCTGAGAAAAAGAGTGCAAATAATTGTCAAAAACAATAACAACATCAAAGTGTAATTACCGCAAAATTCTTCTCTATGATAGCGGCATTTCGTTGTCGTATACGTTTTGCAAGTGGTGGTGTAAATAGATCGGCATTGATAAGAGTTTTATTTCTATCTGTGTAAATAGTTGATTCACCACCCAAACCAAACGTATCAAGAACCACACTAATAAACCATCCGCCAAAAAATGCTATACAAAATCCTATTGGGGCATACCTAAGAGTTGATCAGAAGAAAAGAATGGAAAAAATGGAAATTAATCAATGCGTAATGGATCGGAATGGAAAATGAAACTATAGATGAAAGTATATACTTTATAGTTAAGTAAAGTAAATACTTATAAAATCAATGAACATTGGGGCATACCACATGTACGATATTTTGTACAACCAGAAATACCTATGACAAAATTATATCAAAGGAATTAAAATAATGATTCTGATATGTGTAAAGTGCGCTGAATTTTGTTTACTCAATTTCCGTTGTACTATTTCTTGATGACATCTTCGGGGGTGTTGGACCCCTCGGACACTCATCTGTTGAGAAAGGAAGAGTAGGGGCTGTCGGCTTTGGTTGGCCGAAGGCAATCACCAGGACAAATATAACGCTTATTAACAAACCAGCGATGGCACCCTAAAATTCGAAATATTTGAATGTGTTTTGAGTTTATTTTGCAAAACTTAAATATTCAATTTACTCTTTGATTTCCTCTAAGAGTAAACATTCCTAAGGTAAACATTCCCAGCAGAGGTCCACCGACAGCACCAAATATTGAAAGAGACACTTGAAGTATGCTTCCAAGATATTGTGCTAAATTAGGTTCGAAATGAAGGTGTTAAAATCTAAATCGCATCTAAATGAAGCGTTTTTACCTAAAAAAGCGATACCAACACAAATCAATCCATATAGAAATGCTGTGATTTTTGATGGTAGGGCTGAGCTGCTTTCCATGAGTGGTTTTCCTTTGATGTGCGAATATAAAGGCTGTGAATATTGGAGGAAAGTGCGAGAATTTTTCATGAACTACAAGTTCGTATAAGAAGGTTGAATGTTATACTTTAATATAATCCTCTAGGGTGACTGCTGCTAATGAGTTCATACATGCTGAAACGGATGATAAGCTAGCTGATACGATACCCGCTATAAAAATTCCAGGCAATCCTGGCATATTTCCCATTGCTTCAACAACAAATAATGGCATCAACTGTAATATATCACCATATTAGACTAACTTTTCGCCAAATTTCACCTGATCTCTAGATATGTTTCACCTGATCTCTAGCACTAATTCGTTTGTAATCCAAAACTGGATCACACTTTGCATAATACGCATATCTGCGGAAAAAAATAACTAAATAAGTAATATTCTTCTTTTTTTTAAATTATGACAATGTGTTTTACAAAGCGAGTCCGCTGAAACAGGTACTGATGCTTAGCAATGAAAACAGTGGCCAATTCACAAATATAGCGATTTGAGATTTTTTCAAATCTTTAACAGTCAACAGTCGTTGAACTTGGTTTTGATTGCATGCATACAATGTGGCATATGTAAAACCGCCTCCAATTATTAACGAAAACCACGTATGACGAACTGTTGGATCCAAATCGAAACTAAAATTGAGTAAAATATTAATGCATCAAATGGAACTCATTAGATTTGGGTTAATTACTTGAAAAAATTCAATCGGCCACCTTCCTTGGAAATATCCCAAATCGCTTGAAAGCCACCGACACGAATTGCTGCACAAATGATTACACTATAAATAGCTGCGAACATAAGTAAAGATCTGAAATGTGTTAAAAGAACATTTTTAGTTGATTTTTTTTTGTTTGTAAAAGAGATATTGCTTACTGAAAAACGTCTGTGAATAATACGGCTTTCATCCCACCGATTGTCGAATAAAAAGTGCACACAAATCCTATGAAAAAGTTTTATATGTAATAACTTATGGTTATAAGATCGAACTTTGTATTCTAACCAAGTATTAGAATGGTGTCCAATCGGGAAATTCCTGTAACTGTTTCCAATGCCAAAGCAGGGGCATATAAAACGACACCCATATACAGCATCATTTGCATTGAATATGTTATGGATGCTGTAAGTCGAGTGGCCGGTCCAAAACGTTTCTCTAAGTACTGAAAATATGACATTTTCATTTGATGCTTTTAAAATTATATTTTTCACTCTGAAATTTACCTCATAAGCGCTAGTTGCTTGCAGTTTGTAAAATACTGGTAAGTAATAAAATGCCGAAATGGCCGTTGCAAATCCATACGATAAATTGATAACGCTGAAAAGTATTCCGTATGTATAAACTTCGGTGGACAAACCGAGCAATGTTATCGATGACATGAAACTGGCCATTAAACTTATTGAAACCGGATAAATACAAACTTTGCTATCTGCCAGAAAATACTCCTATAAAATCATCAACAATGTCAAATAACAAATATTGTTAGATAATTAGAAAAAAATTGTTTTCAAGTAAACATACTTTTGTGGTTTTTTGTTTGCCGCCTGTGAACCGATAGTATAATCCAATGGCAGCTGATATAGTCAGCATCACAATCAATACGAGGTAGTCCCATATTGAGAACGAGGCCATTTTTTTAAAGTTCAAGTAACTTCGGGAGATCTACAAAATAAATTCCGAATGTTTTAAATTCATAATTGTTTTTGAACAGTGGTTATGCACTTCAACCTTTTATCAACTTTGAATTTTTGAAAATCAAAATGACTAGCACTTTTTCTGATATTATATCAGGTGTTAAGCTCACGTATCAGATAAAATGTGAAATTTTCTATTAAATATAGAACCGTTGTTTATCGGTGGCATTACAATATTTTACAACCTGATAAAATTGTCGTGTACATATGGAATGTCTTACAAATGTGTATTGAATACGGTGATATGCACAGATTGCAAATTTTTTTACAAACAAATCAAACACTTTTCCATAGGATCGAATTGCATAAAATGGTGAACAAAACAATTTGCAAAACCTGTATGTTATTACTTTTCCGCACACCTAGTGTAGGGAAGGTATTGTATTAGGCCAAAAAATTAAAGTCATCCCAAAACATGTTTTCTATGCATATTTCATATAGAAAACACGATTGGAGATGATTTTGGGGCATATTAATGTGCGTCGCTGTGTGTGATGTGTCCTGTGTCCTGTGTCCTGTGTCCTGTGTCCTGTGGCGTGTTGCCAAAATTTGTTAACTCGATAAATCTTCTTCCAAAAACTCAATTCAAAATCTGACTTTTCAGGATGATTTGGGACCACTAGGAGACGTGCTGATTAGTTTTTGAGCAATATCTGTTGACCGGTGTAATTTTTTTTGGTCCGAATGGAGTACCCACATCCATACATTTTTTGATAATTTCTCAACCATTTTGGTGACACGATGGTTTCGTGCTCAGACATGAAATTCAAAATTTGACTTTACCGAATGATTGGGCACTACGAGGAATAGATCTGGTCAAATTTTCAACGACATTGATTGACCGGTGTAAAACTTAGACTCTGAAGAGGCACTTATGAGAAAAATGCCTTAAAATAATTTATTATTTCAATTTGAACGCTGAAAGAATGTGTAGTGGGGGGTTTTTTGGCACGAGAAACCTGAATCTGATGTTAGTTTTAAGATGCAATCAATTTTTCACAGACTTTTCATACAAAAATCCACAAAACATTTCATTTTTGTATGAAAGACTTGCCTTTGTGGTACCGTAATGATGTGAAACTTTGAACAGGCTATTTTTTTGATTGAAATTTCTTTAAACTTGGTGTGATTATTTATTTTGATAAGAAAATAATATTCACAAGTTTTCACGTTGATTCAAGTTACTGCAACCATACATAGACCATAATTTCAGTTTATTCCCAAAATTTCGGTTCCATGCGGAAAAGTCAGCTTGCGTACGTAAGCCTCTTTATTTTCTTTAAAACACAATCGTTATCTATCTTAAGTTTTTATGTTATCATTTTTAACACTCAACTGTCATTCGGGTCATTCTACTGTAATATTTTTGATAATTTTGTTTTTTTTTTCTTCGAAACAAAAATAACAAACAAAATTGAAATTTAATCGCATTTTAATAGAATCGTACAGTGTTGATTGTTCTATGAATTCTTCCTTCATCAATTGAATTGAATTGCATGTCTACACCATTTCAAAATAATTTACACTCATCAATACTTGATCAATCAATGAATCCAAATTGAAATTTATGAATTCGACCCATTTATGATCATTTTGTATATGAAAATAAAACTTCCCTATCAAAATAAAACTGTATTTTCTGAAAATATGCACACTTTTCGGTAGTAAACATACAACAGTTACTCACACTATACGTGGGTTGTAAACTAATTTGATTTCACATCGATTTATATAAATAAAAATAAAATAAATCGAAATCTTATTCTATTCGATGATGAGTGATGTGTGTTGTTAGCGCACTCATGTCACTGTATCGTCTGACTGATATTTATCGATTAGCATTTCGTTTTATATCAACATGTGCCAGCGGTAATCATAACAAAAATTTTATTCTATTGATGTTTGTGACAGTTGATAACGCATGAGCATGAGCATTTCACACTCATCTACTCACTCAAAATATTTGTAGTAATCTCAATCCTTTGACAGCTTATGCTAAAACGTCCTAAACGATTGTCACAACATAAAAACACATTAGCGGCGTACTTTTTGTTAAATTTATTGACATTCTCTCACATATTTACAAATTAAATTGAATTCTACATAACAGACATGCTTGTTCAAATTTATGTTTATTTTATTGTTTCAGTAGTGTGTTCGATTTCAGATATATATTTGTATTTCATTGTATAAAGTTTGTACCATTCGTTGTACGTGTGAAAATTCTACACTTTTGTTTTCCATATGTCCTATTAAGTAACTTTGATTTTTTGTTCAGTATTTCGAGCTTAGCTCAATAAATAAGTTTTAAGAGATCAATCTTATAAACTTGTATTTTTGTTTATATTAGTACCAAAATCGCCGTCTGCAACCTAGAAAATCAGTAATAGTAATTTGATAGAAAATTAAATTTTTAAAAGAATTGTCATTACCGCAAAACTCTTCTCTATGATAGCGGCATTTCGTTGTCGTATACGTTTTGCAAGTGGTGGTGTAAAAAGATCGGCATTGATAAGAGTTTTATTTCTATCTATGTAAATAGTTGATTCACCACCCAAACCAAACGTATCAAGAACCACACTAATTAACCATCCGCCAAAAAATGCTATACAAAATCCTATTGGGGCATACCTAAGAGTTGATCAGAAGAAAAGAATGGAAAAAATGGAAATTAATCAATCGTAATGGATCGGAATGGAAAATGAAACTATAGATGAAAGTATATACTTTATAGCTAAGTAAAGTAAATACTTATAAAATCAATGAACATTGGGGCATACCACATATACGATATTTTGTACAACCAGAAATACCTATGAGAAAATTGTATTATATAAGGAATTAAAGTAATGATTCTGATATGTGTAAAGTTCGCTGAATTTTGTTTACTCAATTTCCGTTGTACTATTTCTTGATGACATCATCGGAGGTGTTGGACCCCTCGGACACTTATCTGTTGAGAAAGGAAGAGTGGGGGTTGTCGGCTTTGGTTGGCCGAAGGCAATCACCAGCACGAACATAATGCTTATTAAAAGACCAGCAATGGCACCCTTAAATTCGAAATATTTCAATGAACTTTCAATTTTGAAAAATAGAAATATCTAATTACACGTTGATTTCCTCTCATAGTGAACATCCCCAAAGTAAAAATTCCGAATAGTGGTCCACCGATGGCACCAAATATTGAAAAAGACACTTGTAATATACCACCCAGGTATTGTGCTGTAGATAATTCGGAATCATTTTTATAACTGTGTGAACAAACTGTGGTTTCGATAGTTTTACCTAGAAAAGCGATACCGACACAAATCAATCCGTATAGAAATGCAGTGAGCTTCGATGGCAAGGTTGAGTTGCTCTCCTTGAGTGGTTTTCCTTTAACATATGAATATAATGGCTGTGGAAGTTTGGGTGAAATTCATTATTTGTGAAAATTGTTTTTGAAAGGAGATTGAATGTCATACCTTAATATAATCCTCCAGGGTGACTGCTGCTAATGAATTCATAGCTGCCGAAACGGATGATAAGCTAGCCGAAAAAATGCCCGATACGAAAATTCCAGGCAATCCTGGCATATTTTCCATGGCTTCTATAACAAATAATGGCATCAACTGTAATATATCACCATATTAGACTGATTTTTCCCTACATTTCAATTTTCCATAGATATGTTTCACCTGATCTCTAGAGGTAATTCGTTCCATTAAAAGTGGATCACATTTTGCATAATATGCGTATAAAGCAAGCCCACTAAAACAGGTACTGATACTAAGTAGTGACAAAATTGGCCAATTTAAAAATACAGCCTTTTGAGATGCTTTCAAATTTTTAACCGTCAACAGTCGTTGAACTTGGGTTTGATTGCATGCATACAGTGTTGCATATGTAAAACCGCCTCCAATTATCAAAGAAAACCACGTATGACGAACTGTTGGATCCAAATCGAAACTGAAATTGAGAAAAAATTTATGTTATAAATGGAATTCATCAGATTTGGAGAATCATTAGATTTACTTGAAAAAATTCAATCGGCCACCTTCCTTGGAAATATCCCAAATCGCTTGAAAGCCACCGACATGAATTGCTGCACAAATGATTACACTATAAATAGCTGCAAACATAAGTAAAGATCTGAAATGGGTTGAAAGAACATTTTTAGTTTTTTTCAATTTTTTTTTGTATAACAAAAGAGATATTTGATTACTGAAAAACGTCTGTGATTAATACGGCTTTCATCCCACCGATTGTCGAATAAAAAGTGCACACAAATCCTATGAAATATGATTAAATCATTAGTCATTAAATAACGAACTTGTATACCTAATTTAATGCGAATTCAAAGTATCTACCAATAATTAAAATAGAATTAGTTTTCGACATTCCTGTAATAGCTTCCAATGCCAAAGCGGGGGCATATAAAACGATTCCCATGTATATAATCATTTGCAATGAATAAGTCATGGATGCAATCAGTCGCATTGTAGTTCCAAAACGTTTTTCTAAGTACTAAATACATTGAATTCGATTAACACAATTCAACGACACATTTGTCGATATGCTAATTACCTCATATGCGCTAGTCGCTTGCAGTTTGTAAAATACTGGTAAGTAGTAAAATGCAGAAATGGCTGTGGCGAATCCATACGATAAGTTGATAACGCTGAAAAGTATTCCGTATGTGTAAATTTCGGTGGACAAACCAAGCTGAAAAATAGTTACAATAAATGTCATACAAATATTTTTTTTTGTTAGAAAATGAAAGTAATGGCAATGCAAAATTTACCAAAGTTATAGCCGACATAAAACTAGCCATCAGACTGAAGGAGACGGGATAGATGGAAACGCCGCTGTCGGCCAGGAAATATTCCTATTTAACGAAATTAAACTATTGTTTTGTCAATTCATTAAACTTTTGTAGACTTACTTTTGTTGTTTTCTGTTTACCACCCGTGAATCGATAATATAATCCAATGCCAGCCGATATAGTCAGCATCACAATCAGAACAAGATAGTCCCATATTGAAAATGTGGCCATTTTTCCAAATTGAAGTCAGTCTATCAGAAAGAAATTCATTTTTTTACACACTGAAGAAAACGAATATTTTCTTAATTTTCGGTGAATTCACAGTAATACCTTTTTTGCCAAACACATTTTCACTCAATTTGTATCGCAAAAATATGATGTGATGTATATTAGCTGTGAAGTTGCATACATCATATTTTTGCGAGTTACATCGATTGTATGTTTGACAAAAAAAACTATTTTACCAGGTGTGAATTGGCCCTTAATACAGATTACTGTCAATGGCGACAAAAATATATTCATAAATATTTCTGCACTTCGACATTCAATTTTCCGATATTTTTTCTGCAAAGTTTCGCAATTAATCTATTTTTTCTTGTCATTTATGATTTGTCATAATGGGCAACATTAAAAACCTGATGACATTACAAACTTTTTCTAGTAGACATTTTCTAGTACGATATTCGACGAAATATTTTCTGAACTCGTTGGTTTTTCCAATATCTATTTATAATTTTGCTCTTGTTAATTACAACATGCGCAATTAATAAATCTTGTTGTACTTTTTTACTAAGTCATTTTCGGACAATTAATTCTAGTTATATTTTATAAATTGAATTGCATGTTTTCAATACTCTTATTCACAAATTAATATTTGATCAAACGAATCAATGAAACAAATTGAACTTTATGAATTTGACCTGTACAATATATATTCGACAAAGCTGAAGTTTTCCCTTTAAAAAATAAAACTATATTTCCTTTGACAAAAAAGCGCAGGCAACAGTAACTCACATTATACGTGGATATTCTAAATTAGTTTCACATCCATTGAACGAAAATAAAAATAAAAATAATAAATCGAAATCTTATTCTTATCTTATCTAATTGTTAACAAATGTTGTGTGTGGTTGGCGCACTCATGTCACTGTATCGTCTGACTGATGTTTACCATGCATATTCCCGAATTATATTATCATATGTACATGCGGCAACCAACACAAGAGCTTTGCTAATGTATGTGACAACTTACTCTCTTTTACTCAACCAAAACACGTACTTAACCATTGTTATTGTACTTAGTCCGTTTTTTACTTTCTTTGAGTACGCGAAGCTTGAAATCTTCACACAACAGTTTCAATTGCTTGGATATTAAACCCAAACAATTGAAACATTTCAAACATACTGTACCATTGGTTAATTTTGATGTGGAAAGCCATCCCGCACGATTTAAGGCGGGACTAACTACATTTTAATTTACGAAAACCCCAATTTCATTTGAAACACACATATTTAAAACCTCTTTTCACTCTTTTTTCCAGAATCACCTCCAAAATTATTGTAAGACTTTAATTTTACCTTTTTTTATGAAAAGCAGTTTCTCACGCAATATTTCTCTTGAATTCCTAAAAAATCATGAATACAATCTAGAAAATATCTATTAAAAATCCATTGTTCTTGGCATGTCTTTAATTCAATCTCAATTTTTTCTCCATTTAACAGACGTAATTACTTCAAAGTCTGAGACGAATAGCATTTAATTGTTTATTCTTTTTCTATCATTTCATTTAGATTGCTATGTGAAAAAAGGAATATAAATCAGTTCATTTAGTGGATTTAAGCTCATTCGGTCTGATAGTTTTTTCGGAGAAAGTCTTTCTCTTAACGTACCAAAATGGAATTGGATCAAACAATAAGTGTATATATCATGAAAACTGAACGTTTTTTGTGTAATATTTTGCGGATACTCGGTTTATGGATGCCATTCGGGAAATCAAAATTTAAATTTTATCTGTATTCAACTTACTCCGTTGTGTTTCTAGTATTTTTTTCCATCATTTACACGGTTTCCATGGTATGCAACATATTTTTTTTGACGGATTTTGCTGACCTCACAAATAGACTTTACATGTCACTTACTGAAGCAGGTAAACCAGATCTAATCCTACTATTGCTGTAAATAAAAGGAGGTATAAAATTTTGTTTCTATTTTGCAGCGTTGGCAATAAAAATCATAAATATGGCAATAAATAATCATGAATGGCAACAAATTCTAACGCAAATCAAAGATTTTCGTATTAATTTACTGGAACACGAACGAATTATTAAGCGACGTGCATACATTTTTCAAATCGTTATTTATGTATATTTCTTCATTCCGAATTGTGCGGTGATTACGCTGGGAACTGTGCCACTATTTACCGGAAGACAAAGTCTCATATTCAGTGGATGGTATCCAGGTTAATAGAATTAGAACGCATCAACATATGATGTCAAATCAATCTGAAATAAAATCGATTTATAAATTTATTTTAATGCAGGATTTGATTGGGAAAATAATAGGCAAGTTTATTGGTCTATCTACGCCTATCAATACATTGGCATTTTAATAACTTGCAATTTGAATGTGGTGGTTGACTCTTACTATCAATATCTGATGCACGTACTCAGTGCTGAAGTTCACATTTTTGGTCGTCGGTTGAGCACAATTCAAGTCAACGAAAATGAAAAATCGATGAAAAATATTCGCACCGATTTAATACAAAAAATCTATGCACATCAACGTTTGTGCAACATATTTGAATTGATACAAAAGAATCTGCGATGGGCATACTTTTGCCAGATTTTGCTCAGCGGTATCGTTATTTGTAGTGTTACAAAGGAATTAGCACGGGTAATTTTGAACATTTTCCAAATTTTCTGTTAATGTATTCTCATAATATTTTTGCAGTCATCCATTTCAGACGAACCGGTTTTGTTTTTCTCAACTGGTTTTATTCTGATTTCATTTTTAATGCAAATATTTTTAATGTGTTTATTCGGACAAGAAACTACTACTGAGTTTGATTTACTGCCATATCGATTTTTTAGCTACGATTGGCCCGAAATTATTGCCATTTTAGATCGAAACGACTCGAAAAATTGTCAAATGATAATAACAATCACTATGGAAATTTTGAATCGCAATAAATGCGTTATGATCGGAAAGGTTTTTCCATTGAATTTGCCAACTTTTACATCGGCAAGTATTACATTTTTTAAATTGTTTGAACGGAAGGGACAAAACATCATGTATACGGAATATTCTTTCATTCCAGATTCTGACAGTGGCTTATCGACTTTTTGCTATATTGAAATAAAATATCTTTATTTGCACGAATATTTTTAACAAATGTCACAGTTGCAGTGCAATATCAAATATGAAGACGATTCAGAGAGTAGAAAACGCTGCCGCTATAGTAATACTACATATATTAACAATGCCTATAAATAATTACTATTTATATACATTTCGATTGTGTGACCACAACAATTTTTGCAAACCCCAATGTGAACAATGTAACTCTTTGTATGTAGATTTTAGAGCGGGAGTGTAACCTACCTAAATGTACCTTAATGTACACTTTTTTAAGACCAAGATACGTTACATAATATATGAGATTTAGAAAATCTCTACCCCGAGAAAAAATGATGAGTATAGGCAAAAAGGGGTCAATTTTCTCAAAAATATTTGCAAGTACCCTTTCAAACAAAATGCTGTACACTTACCTACACTTAATTAAAACCAATAATTTTGAAAAAGATATATTATAGAAAAATTATGATGGCATGCAAATTATGATTTGAAGCGATTTCATATTGTATTAAAAAACGAAAGTGTAGTTGTTTATAAACCGTATTAAATGAATAAAAAATGTCTAAAATGTCACCATACATTTCCATATTTCACATTTTTCAATCAAGTGAAGCTGTTTTATGGTTTCTTCCAACTTAGAGGTTCTAAGAACCATTTTAGTTTGTTGCATACATTTTTCACAAGATTTTTATTGCAACGACAATTTGACAACTTTAGGTAAATTCAGCACATTAACGTTTTCAAAGTCATTCCTTTACTCTTGATATTTGCAATATGACTAAATCTCGGATGGGCTTTAATGACGTCTTCATATCTAAATTGGAAAGTAAAGTTTATCTTAAAATATAACTGTAATAGAACAAGTGTATCATATATACTTCAGAGCGACATTAGTTTCAAATCCAACTTTGTCTGCATTTTGATTTGAATAGTCGGATGTAAAAAAAGTGTGAGTTAACTTCAAATTGTACTGTTTGCAAAGTTTCTTCCTGTAAAAATCATAATTTAATAAATTAATTAAATTGAGATAGATTTTTCTATTTTTACTCAAGACAACTTAACCTTGTTGCAAGAAAATGATCCCCAATGCTTCTTCCACGATATTTGCGGCTAACAGATAGTCCAAATGATGTCAAGTATTCATCGACTCCATAATATTTAAACGTATCGAAATCCTCGTAAAGTATCATCATCAAATCAAATAAGTCCTTAGTTACTTGACTTTTAAACTGAAAACAATTACACATCACCAATATCTAGAATCAAATATATTTTAATTTAATTCAAAAGTCAAATTTGCTTACAAGTCCACACGCCGCTTGCATAAATTCATCATCTTTTTTCAATACGAATAGCATATTTGCGCCAACGATTTCATCGGAACCTTCTTTGAAACACACAAGCGGAACTTTTTGCTCGGCCATTTTGCTCCAACACAACTTGTAATCTTCAATATGGTTTGGATCCTTTGAACCCTCTAAAATTGTTATTAGTTTTTTGAATTATGGGTTAAATATTAAAAATAAATAAATTAAATAGTTACCAAGCACTTGACTAATTGGTTCGTCTTGAATATAATTGGCCATCATGTGTTCAAATACGTCTTCAACACGATTTGTTGGTAAATCTTGAATTCGATATTCCACCAGCTCATCTGTATTCAAATCTTTTGCTTTAAATGTGTGCCACACTTTTGGAAATTCAATTGTTTCCGGACGTTTCCATTTTAATACCACGTTTGCCATTACGAGTTTAATAGTTTGCAAGACTGAACAAAAGACTAAATGAATTCAACGTAGTTTTCCGCATTTATAAAGAAATCGTGTATATATAATATATTGCGAATTTCAGTATTTATCTAGATATTTATATAACAAACTAAGAAATGCATGACAAATAAATTTTTTAGAACCAACTATTAAAAAAATTAATATCAATGAACAAACACATTATTGCAATAAAAAAACAGCTTAATGTGATTTCTGGCTTTAATGCAAACACAAGGTTTACAATAGAAATGATTTTTCAAAACTGCAACTCATGTTCATTACTTAATCTTCGCAATATTTCATACGACATTTGATGAAATCAAAGACAATGCAACAAGTGCTACTTAAATTGTTTGTTGATTAAATGCAGTTTGATTTTAATGGAAATTTTCACTTCTTCCTGGCTAATTTTGCTTTGATAAATAAATCAACATTCTGATAATTAGACTTGGCTGAATGGTTTTGGTGTTTATATAGACTATTATCTCCATTGATAATAATAGGGAAATTGCATCGAAATTGCACATTGATAAATGATATTGCCTATCACAGATTCGCAGACCAGGTACTCGTTTATTATATGTATATATTAGAATCAAATCATTGGAAGTCAACATACACAATTAAAAACAGACAATGCATATATTTGGATTCAGATATTTCATCTGGCGAACGACGGGCGCTGCTATGAAGCGATAATAATAGAAGTTATAAAATATAGCACTTCATTTCTAATTTTCATAGAAAATGTCCAAACATCCCAGGACTTAAAAAATCCCATCTCTTCAGTGTATAAATAAATCAAACTGATAAGGAACAATCAATCGTCTTTTCATGATGTATTCATTGAATCGCTGTATGCGTGAAAAATACCGTGAAACATTCAAGAGAAGCTGACCAAAGCGGTTGTCATTCATGTCAAAGCACTTGAGTGAGTCAAACAAACCATTTGTTTCCTATAATATCATTTGAGTATTAAAACGAACCGAATTTTTTAAAATTCTAAATAATGTCGCCGATGTCAGCAATGGGTCAATACTCTCTATGCTGTGGATTATCGAAAATGTATGTATTTGTATTTATCTAATTTTTATTTTTAATCCTGTGATTAAGTCATGACTATCATGACTTGCCTCTAGATTGCAAAAAAATATTTCGAGTACTTAAGTTGGGGACTTTTTAGATTTTATTTATATTTCTTGATAGATTGATATAGGAGATTGTTATCAGAACCATAACTTGTGCTTCACCGCTAACAAATATCATTCTTATCAATTGTGGCTGATAACTCGAAAACAATAACTATAAAAGCCATAGCCAAATTGGCAATGAATATCACAGAATATTCAGAGCTCCAAAATGCATGCAAAATTGGTAAGAAAATTTATTTGGCCATACAATAATTTGACAAAAACTAATTGAATAAAATGCTTTTTTCGCAGTTTTTCTTATTGATAGTCACTGCTATCGTTTGCACTTCAGCCGAAGAAACACCCGCCCAGAAAGATCGTGATTGTATACAAATTGGTAACAAAGATGGCCGCGATTTCACTGAGCATCGATGCCCTTTGAAATGGTATGTCGCTGGCCTGCAATTTGTTGGACATCAGAATGGAGAATCGGCGTATCTTATTACATGTTGTCAAGATGTATAATGGATAAAAACCAAATTGTTTTTTTTTGTTATTAAGAAAGATAAAGTGAAGTAAAATTCAAAACCAAACCAAAGAATTAAAGTGACACCATGATATATGATCAGTTTGATCATGGATAATCGAGTAATCGATTAGATTCTGCAAGAATGTTTATACATTTGAATAGCAGGCTTACTTTTTTTCCATAGTATTAATTTATTTGTTAATTTTTTAAAAATGTATTTTGAAATGAGTTTTAAACAATTACGTCATAACGTCAACGATTTGTCAAAAGATTATTATCGCAATTGATCGAATTATCAATTGAATTATGGTTCTTCTGACGTATTGCAACTTGTTGAATTGCTAGAGCGATTTTTTTGGAAGTCAATTTTTTCAGAATGGAATCTAAAAGCCTCTTTTTGCTAAGATTTTTCGATTTGCTATTGATTTTTTTCCACAATCACCGCAATTTTGTCATCATTCACACTATTGTGACTTCAAAAGCTTTGGTTAAAAAAATCCACATTTCTACAAAAAATTAATTCCCTACACATTATTTCTATCATCCCCTTCGCTCAATAAAAATTACTCTAGGTGAAATGATTATTAAACGGCTCTGAATTGTAATTATCCCGACTATCACGTGTTCCATTAAACTCATATATTTTCAGTTAAACTGAACATTTCAAAAATTAAATCTAATTCTTTGTATTGAATTTCTTCCCTTGCTCCACTTATTTCTTGAATCGGACATAATTTATAGAAAACTATTAATTAAGTTTTCGTCGAAATCAAATCCTATTGGTTCAAAGCCAATGAGAAACATGTAAATGTTTAAAAAGTTTGAACCAATAAGATGAAGTCACGCAATTTTCTTTTACACACAGAAAACTGTTTTTTTTTTTCATTGAAAAAGACTTTTTGTCTAAGAAGAAGAAGAGTAAGCTATTTAAGTGTGTAATTCACACTATCATATCAAAATCAACGATTGAAAATTATGCTATATTCTATGTATTCGGTTATATACAATGATATCAACGACTTTCGCATTAATTCGATTGATGAACGACAGACGGCTAAACAGATTTGTATTTGTTCAACAGAACTTGCGCCTATATTTCAAGGGACTGATCCAATTTACAGTGGATGGTATTCAGGTGTGTGCTTTTCATAATTCTTAAAAAAGATAAAAATCTTCTTATGTCTGTTTCTTTATTTATAGGATTAGATGGGCAGAAGAATGAACGAGACTATTGGATTGTTTATGTATTTCAAGCTATTGGAGCGTTAGTCACTACTAATATGAATGCAGCCATTCATTTATACATTCATTTATACTATTGCTTTATGATACAAATAGTTCGTGTCGATGTGAATATTCTTGGACAACGTTTTTGTTCAGTTCGAACAAACGGAAGAATTTCAACATTTTATGCTCGTATTGAATTGGTTTGGCACATTCACCATCGCATTAACAAGAACTTTGAATTCAATGGAAAAAACTTGGAATGGGCTTACTTTTGTCAAGTTCTGCTCAGCGGTAATGTTATTTTTTTTGTTTATGTTTTTGTAATGCAGGGATCTGTTACAGAGGAGCCATTATCTTTATGGGACATTTTAGCGCACATCACATAATACATATTTTTCTCATGTGTGAATTCGGCCATGTAGCTATATCGGAATATGTCTCACTTTCTCAGCGACTTTACAATTCCGATTGGATTGACATGACTTTAGTGTGCAATCGAAACAATTCCAAAGATTTGCAAACATTTTTTGTTTTTCTCATGGAAACAAAATTGAAATAAAATTACGTAAACCATTTTTAAAATATGGCTTTAAAAAAACAGATGTTTGAATAGCTCTAGAGATTTTGTTTTGCTCTCTTTCAAATACCATTATTAGCCTTTGAAATTAAAAAAAAAAATATAAACGACGAGAGAAAAAAAAATATTGTTTAATAATTCAAAATTCAAATCATGACTTTAGTAAAATGTTGCTCCCGAAGCCAACTTCACTTCATATATGACATGAAATGTCACAATATTATCAGCCGTGTGTTGTTTAGTTGTAGCAACAAGTTGTGCATAGTAGAACTATTTTAGAAAACAAATAAATAATTGTAGGAATGGCAAGCGGTTCGATAGAGGAAGACCTTGTGTCCCTCAAAAATTATTCATCGAAACTGCATGAATCTTTCATCAAAATGTTTCGACACCAAGAACTAACTGATGCCGAATTAGTTTGTGAGGGTCGTCATGTTGGAGTTCACAAGTTTCTGTTATCATCGTCAAGTCCAATATTTAATAATCTTTTCAAAATGTCAAATAACAATAAAATACCAATCGAAAATGTGAAGTACGATGATTTGATGAATGTTTTGGAGTATGTCTACAGCGGCAATATCAAGATTCCATCAACCAAGCTGTCTTCTTTCATGGACGTCGCCAAAAAGTTTTCCATTACGATTGAGGGTGCTCAATATAATGATATTGTTCCAAGAGAACAAAATAGATTTCATTTGGGTAGAGAAACTAGTGAATATTTAAAAAAAATTGGTTTATTTCTTCGTTTTTTTTTTTTTACAGGGCATGATAATTGTAATACTGAAATTGGTGATAGAAAGTCCAAGCAGATTGGGATAGTATGAATTATAATATTTTGTATAATAATTCATTTGAATTCATAATAAAGCAAACGTATTTTTTAGAATAAACGTACCTCCGTTGACGAAGCAAACCATCGGTCAAGAGAATCAACGATCCAAAAAGATGGACTCTTTTTAGTGAGTCAAGAGACATTTTTTGAAGTAAGTCTCATTTTTCATGGATTCGGCGGAAATGAAATAAATTTGTTTTATTTTCTCAGAGAATGTTCAAAGCAAGAGGTTTACCATGGCCATTTGTTGGCCATTCAAATCAAAATGGAAATCAAACAGCACACAAGCTACCTGAACCGAATATATCCGCCAAAGTTAAACAGGCTCAATCCAATTCTGCAATGAGCACACCAATGCAAAATGTCATAGAGCCACCACTTCGTAAAGTGATCAAAAGTTCGCCGGAGCTCGATCAAATGTCACGTATTAAGGTTGCTCTAGCTCAAACTGAAAAGATCAGAGATCTCAATTTGCAAATTTTCACCAGAAAAAATGAAATATCAGAAAATGAGCTTGATGTACTTAAATCTAAACTGAAAGAGCTCGAGAGGAACCGTATAAAAATCGGTAAAAAAGAGATGAACCAATTTAAGGCCGAACAACTTAAGACTGGAGCAACCCAGTCAAAATCAGCCGAAACTTCGGGCCGACCATCACAAATTGTTGAAAAGCCAATTCATGGACAACAGAGTTCATCAAAAATAGATCAACCTACTTTAATGTCACGCGTTGCTCTAGCTAGGTCTCAAACGGAAAAGATCAGAGACCTCAATCGGCGAATTTCTACCAGAAAACATATAATGCCGAAAAATGAACTAGATGCACTTAAAATGGAACTGAATGAGCTCGTGTGGAACCGTATAAAAATCGGTAAAGAAGAGATGAAACAATTTAAAGCATCTCAGTCAAAATCAGTCGAAACTTCGAGACAATCGCCGCAAATTGTTGAAAAACCAATTCATGTGCAACAAAGTTCATCAAAATTGAGTCAACCTACTTCAATGTCAAACGTTGCACTGGCTTTGGCTCAAACTGAAAAGATCAGAGATCTCAATTTGCAAATTTCTACCAGAAAAAATGAAATATCGGCAAATGAACTTAATACACTTAAATATAAACTGAAAGAGCTCGAGAGGAACCGTATAAAAATCGGTAAACAAGAGATGAAAGAATTTAAGGCCGAACAACTTAAGACTGAAGCAGCACAGTCAAAATCAGTCGAAACACCACTCAACGTAATTTAAAAACTAATCTACTTCTGGAAATGAAATGTATACATTTTTTGATTTTTTTTTTCATCCGTAGGAAGCGTCAACTTCGCGCCAAAAATCCAAAATCGATGCAAGTAAAGAGGAGATAAAGTACTTAATACTGGACTTTAGTCAAATCTCAACAAACAGTCGCGAAAAAAGAAGAGTATTGAACATGATTTGGGATTTATCAGTGAAAAATGTTAGTTTTCTCTCAAACAAATAGATATCTTTGTTTTTTTTTACTTATTATTAAATTTTGTTTCATGTATACAGACTAAGGTACTTGATGGTCGTGAAAGAAAGACAGAAAATCTACCTCGCAATCTAACAATTCAAGAAATAAACAAAATAATGGTAACACTGAAAAGCAAACTTGATTCAATTTCTAAGGAGATTGCAAAAAAACATAAAGAAAAGAATGTTGATGAGGTTAGTGGGCTTCAAAATAAGTTTATAGAAGTACTCATGCATCGAATGGAAGTACAAAAGCAACAAGAGAAATGGCAAAACCTGGCAAATACAAGTAAAAATAAGTAAGACTGAATGCAAACAATTAAGAAGAAAAAACTAAGAATTTAGCTGAATAAAAGTAAAAACCGATTAAAACCGGGGTCTATATCATAATTAATTTTGATTACTTTCATTTTGTATTATTCAAGTATTTCAAACAAAATTTACAATATCAAAACCAATTTAAAATGTCAATTTTAAAAATAATATTACCTACTATTGTCCTACCTACTATTGTAAATTTACAAGATTAAAGAATTAATTCAATTTCAAATCTGAAATAAAATTATACTTTTTTAATATATATATTTTTAAAAAGGATACCGAGTGAGAATATTTTCCCACGATTTACTCATTCCCCACGAAAAATAACAAAAGAATTTTGAATCAAAGGGAGTGTGGCAAAACGATTAAAATAGAATACAACGTGTGGTCACTTCAACACAAATATGGTAATTTTTCATACGATCATATGTCCAATGAATTATGATCACGTTTCAATAGTACTCAATTAAAAATAAAATCAAAGAACTTCAAAAAGAAAATTAATAAGAACAACAAATTGTATGATTGAGTTTAAAAAATCAGCGTAGAATTAAAGATGAAATGAAATGATAGCTTTTGATCATAGAGATTTCATTAAACTCGATTCATTAACATAACTGCAGAACTACAAAGTCAAAAACGCTTGATTTCCATTTAATATGTGTTTTAATCCAAAATGTAATTTTGCTACATTTAATCGTTGGGTAATTTTAAACTAATTTTAAGGTATGGAAAATCTTAAAAAAGACATTTAGGTACGCCAAAATTAAGAAGAAGAAACGTTAATGTACGAAACGATACTAAATGATATTATATGCAAAACTTAAATGTAAATATACTTTTTTTTTATCAAAAGATTCGCATTTATCTTAATTAATAAATGAAGAGTCGATTTCGATGTGTGTCATAATTTCTGAAATTGTTTTAGAAACTAACAAAATGAAAAATAAACAAAAAAAAAGATGAAAAAATGTAAACATTTGCTAATGAAACCAATATAAATACCTAAACTCTGGCTTAATTTTAGTGGTTATGTGTGTTCAAACAAAAATCCATGCACACAGACTTAATCGTATCCAATTGCCATTCATTATAGCTTACTTTTCTATTCTTTTTTTCCTTTTGAAAATGATGATTATTCACACGAATTTATACGTGTACTTTAATTACAATTCTGTATCTTGTAAATCATTATAAAATCGTACATTTTTGTAGTGAAAATATTGTTTGTTTGTGTGGGAATACAAAGTTTTATGCTGCCTTAATATTTCATTCTTTCTCTATTTCAGTCACACCAAAACAATATTGACTTCCATTTGTAGATGTAAATGGAAAAATGTCTACATATTTTCTTCCAAATTCAATTGTGTAACGTGGGAATAAAAGTTGACAATAGGGACTGTATATAAAAAAATGTAGCGTGAAAAGTTCGAATTTATAATAAAGTTCAAAAGAACCTTGATCGTAACGCTATGATTGAATGCTTCGTTGAAATGTGGCAGTCTAACGTAGATAAAATACTACGTTTTTTTAGATTTCTCTTTTACATGCTATTTAAAGTTTCCCTCATTGCTACTTTTATTCCGACCCACAGAAATTTGTCCTCTTCACATGAAAAATATTTTATAAAGTTTTTATTGTTTTTGATTTCAAAATTGATTGAAATCCCGTTTGAAGTTCTAGCTTCAAGTTTGCTTAGACGATGCATTGCTCGTGCTGACATTTAGATTGTCGCACAAGAAACGCTGTAGCTATTTTAGGTGATGAGATCGTGAACGTGAATTCGGCTCGGTTGTTCCATTCAAATGTAAATTGTTGAAGGTGCCTGAAACATACAAAACATTTTATTCAATTCAATGTCACATTTACGCATAGCTTATAGAATTTTTAATTCAAAATGCAACAAAAATGATATTCACCTGGATTTTGATTCGGAACCTGTGGTACTTGATTTAAAGGTATCGTCAATCTGGCATTTACAGCCAATAAATGATCACGGCGTGCAATCAAATTATTCACATGCTCTTCCAATCGAATATTTTCGGATCGCAATTGATGTAAACACGATAGTAACGATGCAACTGAAATGAAAAATGAACATATTATACTTTTTATTCATTTCACATCCGAAGTAACAAATTGAAGATGCTTACTATCAAAATGTTGTGCTTGTTCCATTAAAAATTGTGAGCCTTGCTCCCATTGTCGTTCGAGCAATTGTTCAAGACTTTGTGGTGTGTTGCCATGTGCAGTTGGTTGACCAGTGCCACCCAACATTGAGCTAAGCGACGGACCTTGCGGTTGATTCGATACCATATTTCGGGCCTGCAAATGTAAATTTTCAAATGTAGAAATTCAATTTTGTTTTTATTATATATTTGCTGGAGTGACAAAACTTACGTTGTTTAATTGTTTTCCGGGAAAAACGGGCCCCATAATTTGTGTGTTTGAGTCCATACTTGATGATGTGTAAACACTGTGTGCTTCCATTTCCATAAACAATTGATCGGACATTTTCTGTGCAACGCTGCTCGATGGATTCAATTGATTGCCAAGCATATGGGTTGCATGCATATCTTTCGATGATGGGAATACTTTTATATCTTTTGAACCATCATTTGATGCTGAATGAATTCTTTTATGCGGTTCGGCCATTTCGGAGCCCGGCGAACTTGGCGGTGAATTTTTAATATCTGTTCGTGGTGTTAACGAAGCAACGTCATAATTTGACTGAGCCTCGAAGCTGATTTTCAAATCCGAAAATGAACTTGAATTATCGTCCGGCGTGCTAATAGTAAAACGGAATTGAAAACATGTTAAATGGACAAACAAAAAGGTTAAATGGAATATTTAATGTTATACCTTGTGATGCGACTCAAACTAACATCGTCGGCAAGATGTGCAGTTTTGGCACTGAGTTTAACGCCAAGAGTTTCCATGTTCGATGAACTATTGGATGTGCTCAAATCGGAAAACAGTGACGAGCCACCGGTACCTTTTCCTTTGCTAGATAGACCCAAGTTTGATGATATTTTACCGGTACTTTGCGATGGTGATGGATTTCGAACGATGGCACCGCCCGGCACTAGTGCTTGTTTATCGGCTAGCAACAATTGATCTCGTACTTGTAAATCGGCCGCTTGCTGTACAATAACATTCGGTAGGTTATGAGATCGATTTATATGCTGATTCTAATGTCAAACACACGGACACACACGACAAAAAATAGAAAAGTATGTTAAAAAACTATGTTATTCGGAAGAATTCATCAAACAAACACAATAATAATTACCGGTGTCAAATCTGGATTGGCAAACGATTTAATGTTTGGAATTTGATGATGTGATGGAATTGTGACTGTGCTGGTGTTTGACGGTAAATTTACACCCGATGATAATGGCACTGAAACCACCAAACTGACCGACGTTGCTGGATGATGAGATGGTTCTGTAAACAAAGTACATACACATACAAAGTTATAAATCATTTCAAGCTGAATTTTTTTTATCGAAAAAGTAAAATCAAATTATAAAAAACTAACCTTCGCTTGGTTTGACAATATTCTGCTGTGTATTAACAGTCGCGTGTTGGTTTTGTAAAGAGTCTGTATCAGCACATTTCGGCTGAAAGAAAAAACACCACCATTAAATAAACAATCGACAATTTATCGTTTAAATGAACTGACTTTTGCTTTCGGCTTGCTTACTTTCTTTGTGTCGCTGATATTGTTGTCACCTTTATCGTATGCTAATGGCACTAAAGTCACTGAAACGTCTTTTATACCCTCTCTGTGTATTGCACGTGTGTTATTTTTTTGTAAATCAAAACCAAAATGACACATGCAATGTAATATTGTTGTGACAGAGATAGAGAGTGTGTGCGTTTGTTTGCAGAACGAAAAGAAGATAAAGAAAAAGAAGAATGCGTTCGTATTTAGTACAGCAAGTTCAAAGTACATACATACATGAGTACAGACACACACATACACACAAACTTAATTCATCAATTGTGACATTTGTGATATGCGTTTTTTGCTCTGAACTAATGTCAAAAACAATTATGACAGTTGAATTGTACATGTTGTAATACCTGATCATATCATCTGTGGTGCTGGATTTAATCGATTCCAATTTTCGTTTCTTGACAACGGGTACATTTGATCCGGATTTTGAGCTACCTAAGGGGAGAATCACAAAAGAAAAGAATAAAATTTAAAATAATCGATAAGTAATCGGAAAATAATCGAAAAATAATCGGAAACATATAATGAAAAAATTGCAAAGCAATAGCCACAACAACAATAATGTCCAGCAATTGCTTTAAATTGAGATTTGGTAGTTGTAATCGTCGATTTCTGTGAAAGAGAAAAAAAAAACAAAATGCTCACTATAGAATAGTACTCCCTACTAAAAGGGTTTGGTCCGCTGGTCACTTCCTAGATTTGAGAATGAAACCAAACAATGAATATTAATAAATAATAAGCAAATATTACAGATTCATATGAGAGAGTAATTTGAATTGTAATCAAATTAAAATGCAACTTACTAATAGAACGACCGCGGCTTAACTTCTTTTACTATTATGCTGCACGATTCGCACGATTTGCACGATTCGGGCGATTCGCTGGAACTGCTGGATTCGGACGATATTGTTGTTTCCATGCGGTAGCACTCATATTGAAAATGGGATCATCTGGTTGACGATGTAGCTTACGCAATGCTTTGTAAATCATATTGCGTGAAGCATTGTGATCACGATCCATGACAACACCTTTCTTTCTCAGTTGGAATTCGGGCTCATAGTCGATTGTCTTTGGTCTTGGTTCAGCACCCATTTTCTTTCGTCGACTGTGATGCACTTTCATCGTCCATTTCTTAGGAGTTTTGAGAACAATATTTGGGGCCGTTGGACAGTTGTGGCAAACTACGAAACTAACGATACAAAATTTACAATGTAATTAAGATATATTTTTTTAAAATAACAAAAGAGCAAAACGAAAAAACAACATTCAAAAACAAAACAACTTACCGATCCTTTTTATTATAGTTCTCAATGTGCCCCTTTCGCCGGGCAACTTCCTTCGCTCTTTCCGTCATATCACGGCACTTACTGCAGAACATTGAAGTGCCTGGCTCTTTGACACCCATCGTCAAAACATAGCGGTTCATTGTTTTGGTGACTGCTGGTTTAGGTGAACGCAAATGACCTTTTATCGGTGAGTTTGCGGCCAGTTTGGCATTTCCAAGTGCATAAATGATTTTGCGATCTTCTCTATTCGGAATTTCCTGTTGCAGACCAGTCATTTCACGACAAATTTCATGAGCCGTCACTTGTGTTTGCACATACTTGTCAAACCTCAATCGCGCAACACGCCGTTTGTACTTGACTTGACCAGATTCTTCGAAGACTCTCAACTTGTATGCGAGATACGTCTCGTGATCTCGGCTTTTCATCGATGGCGTCTCCGGATATTCCTCACGATTTTCACGTAGACGTCTGCACTCGGCTTCAAACTTGCCGGTGAATTTCTTCATCATTTTCTTGCGTTTTACGGTACCCACTTGCCAATGCCATTGTTTCGATGTCAGACGATAGCTCACTTCTTCTTCAGCCGCAATATTAAGACGTGTGGTCGCAATCATTACTTTTTCACCCGGGTCATTGCCAATTATCTTTTCGATTTTGTTGGCATCGAAAGCAGCTTGCACATCGTCCGGAATCACATCACTTAAGTCTCTTTCATTTCTATTCGAGCCGACTTCATTTGGCACATTCGACTCATCGACTTGGCGTTTATGTCGGATCATCTTCAGACAGACTGTGATGCCATCTGTCGTAATGCAATAGTCGAATTTCTGACTACGACGATTGACTTTCGGCAGATTGGCATACCGATTCCAAAAATTGTAGTAATCTTGATCCTCCCAGTCTCCTGTGACATCGTTGTTGATTCTCTCACCTGAACTTTTGGGGTACAGTAGATTGGTCAGTTGAATGAATGCTCGTGTATCGAATTTCAGATGATGGCGTTTATCGTGTGATTGAGGCATAGCTCGAAATGAACCCCATTGCGATTCCGGATGAGCAACATTGTGTTTATGAATCCATCGTTGAAGATTCAATAATTCGTACACATGTTTGTAATATTTCTTCTCGTAGCCGGTCGTTTTTAGCCACCCACGAGGAATGGCATGTTCATTATTGAGATTACGACCACGACCACGACCACGGGCACGACCACGGACACGGCCACGACGCTCGTTGTATTCCTGGATTCGTTCTTGTGGAATCAATGGCTTCAACTCTCTCAAATATATGTCCAACAGTCGAAAGTTTGGTCTGCATCTTGAATTCTCAGACTGCAAGTAACTCATGGTGACGTTGATTGCGTTTTGATCGTCGGTTATATGCTTGAAGAAATCTTTCTTTATGTGGTCACGTGCATGCATATCGATATTTTTAAACATGTTTTGCTCATACAACTGATACAAAAATTTCATTAATTGACTGACGTTCTCAATTTTTGGCCGAACTTCGATGCCTTCAGCTGTCAGTTTTAACGCAAAATCGTCATCCAATGGATATCGCTCATTGTCGACTGTCCGACGACTTGTTTTAAGCGGATAAAAATATTTCCGTGCATCGAATGGGTGCATAAACTCTTGAAGTATTGCCTCATTGTCTTGCGAATCGACTAATTTATTTAACTGGCTGTGGCAATAGTATGAGGCTAACCGTGTTACGTCCGATAATTTACAAACCACCTCTTCGAAATGTTTGATCAATTGTACTTTTCGAGAGATTGGTTCGACATTATACTGATCTCTAACTCGGCTTTGAGCAATCAATTCATTTTTCAATGCTTCACGTTTTTCTTTCTTACCCACACGGCCTTTGTCATGTTCGTTCTCCCTCAGAAACTGGTTTAACGTCATCTTCACGGTAAATTGTTCCACATTTGCAGGAATGACCTCTCCCTTGCGACGGTTTATTTTCGTATGGACAAGTGCTGTTTGTGGCTGTCGTTGTTGTTGCTGAGCTATCGGTGGTGAACGTGCACGAGATGATGTTGATGCAATTGGATGTGCAATTGTTTGTGATCGTGTTGAACGTCTTGCTGGTACCACCACCACTTCGGTTGTTGTAAGCCGAGTCCGTTTGGCTTTCGGTTCGCTATCACTGTCATCGCTATCCGACAAACTGATTGGACTTGGAACTGGTTCATCATTTATCGATTCACTATCAATGTCATCGCTATCTGACAAACTGATCGGACTTGGAACTGGTTCTTGCAATTGTTCGTCATCTGATATCTCTATTGTTGGCACATCATTTTCGAAATTAATTTGTTCTTCATCACTGCTGGACGATGATGGCAATGCTTGAGCCGGTGGTTGTGGAGCTCGTTGATTTACATCTCTACGTTGTGCCAATCTCAATCGACGAAATCTTGATGACACTGGCACAATGGGTACCTGACGAACATCAACTAAATTTACAAATCTAAACCGCCTACGTGCTTCTCCATCTCCATCACCATTTTGCTGCTGTTCACTTGTCACATCTTCTTCCATTGCTAACCACTTGCTTGGACAAACCCTGTTCGGATCAAAAAATAAAAATTTGAAATAAACTTTATGCCGAAAAATTGTTTATGAAAAACATTCAATTGCAAATCTTAAAAAAAATATTCAATTGCATATCGTTGTCAAAGTAGGCTTTGAACAATCATAAGAAACTGCGTCGCACTATTGGCTAACGGTACCCATAATCCACTGTGCGCAATGATGAAATTCATGACTGGACATGATTTTGTATTGTATTCTCTCTATCTCAATCTCATTCTAC